GATTATTTAAGGCATTTTGCCCAAAAATTTCAATTTACGATTTGTCGCCTTAAAAAGAATAATTAATCTTACTTATTGGCAATTTGTTTGCAAAAGTAATTATTGAACTTGCAATGTAGGCAATTTTATTGCCAAAAGAACGTGATTAATTAAAGCTATTTAGCCACAATTATTTGCTTAATTGGACTTAAAGCCGGACTTTTTTTCGAAATAAAGGCAATTTCACCATAGTTATTGATTAACTAGGCTTTTTTTGGCAATATTGTCGATTCTAGCTTAATACCACGATTATTAATTAACCGGGACATTCAGCCTAATTTATTTAATTGAGGCAGTTTGTCTGCTAAATGAATGACATGTGTGCATTTTATGCAGTTATAGAATTATTAGGGAGTAGAAGAGGAAAGATGATTAAGTGCTAAAATTAAATTAGGCAGAAGTTCGTCAGTACCTGAATTTAATCGACGGCCACTCTTTAAACTCCAGGTTAAGCTCTCGTTCAAGGAATATTAATTAATTAAATTTAGTGCACGAAGATATCACAACAGAACGCATTAAAAATAAAATTAAAAATGCAAGAAAGCAGTAAAGAATCGCAAGGAGCGTTAAGGGAAGAAGCGTCCGTCAACACAGACCTGGAGTGAGGAAAAGAAAGCCGCGGGGGGGCCACTATTTATAGGCAAAATTAGGACTGTTTCGGCGCCGGGCCGCTTGTGGCTTCCGGCGTTGGGCCGCCGCGGGCCTACGGCGGTTGGGCCGCCGGAGACCGGTGGCTCACCGCAGGAGCGGCGGGCTGGGCACGTCCGCGGCTGGTGGCCCGGAAGCCACCGGTGCCTTGGTGGTTTCGTTATCTGGAATCACTACCGGAGGCTTTTCCGGGAGCTCCGGACCTTTCGGAAAAAAATTCCAGACCAGTTCCGCGATCCTCGCGACGTGTCCCGGATGTTTCAAGTACCATAATTGGCATACTTCCGGTAAATTTCCAAAATGCCTCCGTTTCCGGCCGGAACTGTTTGCAGTCCGGGAAAACAGGCATGTAGAAAAGGTCAAACTAATTGGCACCGGCACTGTAGCAGGCGTGCTTTCTTCCATTTAAAGAGAATGCCTTCAAGTTCTCAAACAATTGTTAAATGCCCATTTCTCTTTGCATGACTTCTTGTACATATCTCTTTGCATGACTTCTTGTAATTGTCCCTTTAGGAAGCACCAATGAATCTCCCATGTTATTCTCCACATTCCCCTGAGCCTCAAAATTTGAGTATTCACACATCCTAGTTTTTCCATGATACAAGACGCATACTACGTTGGGGCTTCAATTTCACTCCAAGCTTCATTCCTGCAAGTAATGTATCAGTCGGATAATCAAAGCTCTGCCATAAGTATGTTCCAGAATTTCCATTCTTTTCATCTCTTAAAACAAGATTCCCGGAATCCAGGAGCTGTCCTACTGGATTTTCGGCTTCTTTCATAGAGTTTGATGACCAAACAAGGCTGTTCTTGCTGACAAGTACAAGATTTTTAGATTTATTGTCTATCGTCAGCAAACTAGAAGAATCCTTAATTGCATTGCGTTGGTTTGCCACCCAAACGATAGTTCTAACTGAGACCTTTTTGTACCAAATTCCGAAGTAACGCTTCCTGGAACTACCAGGACTGAAGAAACCAAGCTCATAATTTCCATCTTTTGAAACTAAGGTCTGGCCATCAACAATTGATTGGGATGAAGTAAGAGTATCAGATGCATTTGAGAATTTGCAGAACAAAAATAGTAAATTAGGTATCAACAAAAAAAAAAAAGAAAGAGCATATATTATTGGATAACTATTCCAGCTGTATTCTGTTAACAGAGATAAAATATAGTTTGTATTGTATTATATCTGTAACACCTAAATTCTCTCTACAATGTATTATAAATAGGAGTACTCTGTATCAATAAGTTATACAAGAGAAATATTATTCATAACCGCCTTCCAGAGCTTTAAGGGTTCCAATTTTTTTTTTTGCTGACTTCCGTCTTTTTCTTTGCGTTTTGTCAGGCTAAATTTCTGTGTCTTTCTTCATAATGGTCCACTTCTCCCTCACACTCCTTCCATTCTCAGAATACTGGTGATGTCGTCTTACTATCTACTATTCCTCGTATGACTCATCGCTTCCTTTTCTGTTTCAATTTATCAGAAATATATTGTTAGTGAAACCCTGTCGTTTCACAAACTATTACTGGTGTGGACGATCTACTTATGTTACCCGTCTGAAACTATCTGGTGTGGAGATCACTTATGGTACCCGTGCTTCAAGGGTACAATGTCTATGGTCATATTGATGGTTCTGTACAATCTCCTGCTGAGAAAATTACTGTGGATGGTGTTTCGATACGTAATCCAGAGTTTGTGTCATGGAAGCAAGTTGACTCTCTTGTCCTCTCATGGATCCAAGCTATGGTTAATTCGAAATTTTGAGAAGTCTTATTCAACCTAATGTCACACTTACAGCGAAGCAAGCCTGGGATTCTATTGAAACTCTGTTTAAAGATCAGGCACATGCCAAGCTCCTTCATTTAAAGGCAGAATTCTACAGTGTTACTAAGGACACTCTTTCGATTGATGAGTATTTGCAAAAACTCAAAAGTATTTATGATTCTCTCTGTACTATTGGGTATCAAATTGGAGAAGATGATCTGGTAATGCAGGTTCTTGAAGGATTACCAACTGAATATGAGAATGTGGTTATAAGCCTCACCAGCAAAACACCTCTTCCGAATTTTGTTGAAACTCGGACTGCTTTATATTTGCAAGAGCTCAGGATAAAGAATCGAACAAAAAGGCAGGCCTCGTCTACAGCAACGTCTGTTTCTCAAACTGCTCTTGTTGCTGTCCTACAAATAATAACAATTCAAGTCGTGGAAGAGGTGGTCGAGGATACAATCAAAACCAGAATTCTTATGATTCTTATTACAATCGTGGACATGGCAGGCGAGGTAGAGGAAGAAGAGGACAATCCTATCCACAGCAATCATTTTCCAATCCTTACTATACAGCAAATTATAACACTGGAATTCTTGGAGCACGACCGCCAGTTTCACACACTATACCTCAACAAGTGAATCAATCTGTTCAGTGTCAAATCTATTCTGAATTTTCTCATTCAGCCCGTGATTGTCCCTTCTTTCTGCGTCAGTCTCAGTCAGGTCCATCTGGTTATAATCAATCATATGCAGCTTTCAATCTTCAAGAACCTGTGCCAACTAACCCATGGTTACCAATACTGGGGCTACTTCTCATCATGACTGGCAATGTCCAGGTTTATTCTTCAATAATTTCAATACTATCATGTCATGATTCTGTTTAAGTTTCTGGTAATGGGTCTTCACTTCCAAATTACTCATGTTCGGTGAATTATATGATATTGTCTACTCCTTTCCTCTAATTTTCGTCTTAAAATGTTTCTGGTTGTTCCTTCAGTTGCTCGAATCTTGTTTCTATTAAAACGTTATACTCGTCGATAATAAATTCGTATCTGTTGGAATTTGTCCTTTTTAAAAGTTTACTCGTGATAATAATTGTACTGTTGAATTTGATCCTTTTGGCTTTTGTGTGAAGGATCTGCGGACGCGGAATCCTCTTCTCAGCTGCAGTAGTCCTGATGATCTTTATGAGTTTCCTCCTTCGTTGTCTTCGTCTTCTGGTTTGTCAAGTCATGTTGCGTTTCAAGATTCTCCCGTGTTATGGCATCGTCGTTTGGGTCATTATAGCTCATCTATTTTGTCCAGAATTTTTCATTCTTCTAGTTTTAATAAAATAAGTTGTAATGCTTGTCAATTGGGTAAGCATACAAGGCTGCCATTTTCTGATTTTCATGTACAAGCTTCTGCTCCTTTTACATTAATTCATTCCGATGTCTGGACGTCTCCTGTCTTGTCTTTTAGTGGCTTTAAATACTATGTGGCGTTTATGGACAATTTTTCTCGTTATGTATGGCTTTTTCCAATGAAACGCAAGAGTGATGTTTATCAAATTTTTGTTGAATTTGCAATGTTTATCAAAACTCAATTTCATTGTATGATTAAGGTTTTGCAGTGTGACGATGAAGGTGAATATACAAGTTCTTTACTTCAAGATTTTGCAAGGGAAAATGGTATAAAACTTCAATACTCATGTCCTTATACCCCTCAATAAAACGGGGCAGTAGAAAGGTTGCATCGCATACTTATTACTGTGGTTCGCACATTGTTGAGTCAAGCATGTTTACCACTGCAGTTTTGGGTTGAAGCATTGCACATGGCAGTTTATTTGTATTATATCTTGCCTTCAAGTATTATGGCTTATGTCTCTCCACATGAGAAATTATTTGCTAAACCTCCTATATATGCTCATGTTAAAGTTTTTGGCTGCTCTTGTTTTCCTAATGTTTCTGGCACTGCAGCTCATAAATTGGCTCCTCGTTCAATTCATTGTGTTTTCTTGGGAATTCCCTTGAATTATAAGGGTTACAGGTGCTATGATCCAGTTTCGAAGAAAGTCATTGTTTCCAGGCATGTCACGTTCAATGAGAATGAATTTCCCTATCAAAAGCTTGTTGCTGAGAATGAATTTCCCTATCAAAAGCTTGTTGCTGCGATGGAACAACATCAATCTTCTACCACTACTCCATTTCGACTGCCGTTACAAAGTTTTCCATCTGCTGTAACTTCATTGCAAAGAAAAGAAAAATCAGCACCAGTTCTGTTATCACAACCAGCATCACCTCTGTTACTGCAGGATACAGATTTTAGCACGCAACAAGTGTCTTCTTCTGATCGACAAGAAAGTGCGAAAAATCCCTCCAATTCAATGCCGCTAGCAACTGTTGAAGAAAGGCCGACTGCACAAATTAATCAACATCCAATGACGACATGATCAAAGGCAGGTATACGCAAACCAAAGAATATATTTTCTATGACTGCTGTTTAGAGTACACAGTTTGTTGAGCCAACTTGTTTCACACAAGAAAATAAAGATCCACAATGGAAGAAGGCAATGTCAGAAGAGTATAATGCCTTGTTAAATAACCAGACCTGGATACTTGTTCCAAAGCCAACCAGTGGTAATATCATTGGGTCAAAGTGGGTTTATCGTGTCAAGCTTCGATCTGATGGAAGTTTAGAGCGATACAAAGCACGTTTGGTGGCTCAAGGTTTTGCGCAGAAAAGGCTTTGCAGCAGAAGGCCTGGACAAGTTTTATCGAATGAAACTTTTCAGTCAGCTTTCGTTAAACCACAACTATTCGAACTGTGCTCTGTTTTGGCAACTTCGAGGCTGGCCAGAGTCATTCAATTAGATTGTTTCAAAAATGGTTTTGCATGGAGTGTTAAGTGAAAGATGTTTATATGTTAAAGGAAGATGTTTATATGCAACAACCACGTGGGTTTGTTCATCCAGAATTTCCAGATTATGTCTGTAAGCTTCGAAAAGCACTTTATGGCTTAAAACAGGCACCGAGAGCGTGGTTTGAACGCTTTACTTCTTATCTTCAACTATTGGGTTTTCAATGTAACCGTGCTGATAATTCTATGTTTATTTTGCTAAAGGGAGAGGATATGGCAGTATTGCTTCTGTACGTTGATGACATTATTCTAACTGCTTCATCTGGTTTATTGTTAGAATAGATTTTGGCTTTGTTAAAGGATGAATTTGCGATGACAGACCTTGGAACATTGCATTATTTCTTGGGGATTGCAGTTACGAAAAACTCCTCTGGTCTATTTATGCATCAAACGAAATACATCTTGGATTTATTAAAGAAGTCAGGCATGGAGACAGAGCGAAACCTCTCTCAACACCAGTGGCAATTAATGATGTGCTTACTTCTTCAATTGAAAGCCCACTTTGTTCGGATCCTCAACTATATCGCAACATAGTGGGTGCGCTGCAGTACTTGACATTCACAAGACCTGATATCATCTTTGCAGTAAAAGACCTGATATCATCTTTGCAGTAAATCAGGTATGTCAATATATGCATTCACCACGTGAAAAGCATTTACACACTGTAAAACGAATCCTTCGTTATCTTCGAGGAACATCAAACTATGGGTTACAATTGTATAAAGGAGGCGAACCATGTTTAACAGCTTATTCAGAAGCGGATTGGGCAGGATGTCATGATACCCGTCGATCCACAACTGGATTTTGTGTTTATTTTGGCAGCAACTTGATTTCATGGTCCTCTAAGAAGCAAGCAACAGTTTCTCGATCAAGTGCGGAGGCTGAATATCGAGCAGTTGCGAGTTGTGTAGCAGAATTGACATGGATTCGGTATTTGTTACATGAATTAAATGTTACCTTGAAGGACAGACCTGAAGTTTTTTGTGACAACATAAGTTCAACATACATGGCAGCCAATCCAGTTCAACATGCTAGAACGAACCAAGCATATTGAATTAGATATTCATTTTGTTAGAGAAAAAGTAAGTGCAGGCCAGCTAAGTGTTAGACATATTCCGTCAAAAGAACAGACAACAGACTTATTCACAAAAGGATTGACAGCATAACGTTTTCAGTTTTTGCGAAGCAATCTCTGTGTTCAACCACACATCGATTGAGGGAGGGTATTGGATAACTATTCCAGCTGTATTCTGTTAATAGAGATAAAAGTTGCATTGTTATTATATCTGTAACACCTAAAATTCTCTCATATTATATCTGTAACACCTAAATTCTCTCTACAATGTATTATAAATAGGAGTACTCTGTATCAATAAGTTATACAAGAGAAATATTATTCATAACCGCCTTACATATATTAGTTTGGGACAGTAGGACATTTTTGCTTACGACTTCTTTGATACGAGATCTAAATTATATATAAATGTGCTTTAGATATGCATAGCGATAGACTTTTTGATGCAAAATAATTAAAAATGGCTCAAAGATCTCCAACACAACTGAATTTTTTTTTTTTTTTTTAAATACAAATGAATGACCATATATATAGTTTGATTCCACTTTTAATAGGCTTGCTCCAATTTGGTTCAAATTTGAAATGAACTATGATCATGTGTCTAGTTAGACTACGTACGTGATACAAAGTATGAAAGTTCAAGAACTAAAACGATTATTTCATTAATTGAAAGAGAAAGATAAAAATTTGTAAAAGAACAGTAAATTCGAAAGTGAAAAATCATATAATTCTCCTAAAATGTATGTAATTCCCATGAGCAAGACATTTCGTTCTGTTGGAACGTCTAGGAAAGAAATTGATTGGGTTCATGTTCAATTGCTTTTGCTAGTGGAGGATGCTGTTTATGTCCATTTGCATTTAGCAATTTTTAATTTGTAATTTCTGAAACTTGTTTTTTTATATGTATATATATTTAATTATTTTATAGCTTAACAACATTGTGTTTTCTTTTTAAAAATAATAAAAATAAAAATGAAAAATTAATTAAATTTTAAAATAAAATGAAGAACATAACTAATAAATGATATAGAAAATATAAAATTAAAATTTAGAAAGCAGCAGTAATTTAAACAGATTTTTCATTTTCTAAATTTGGAAAAAATCTCCATTTTATTTCCAAATTTTCCCTCTTCTTAAAAAATAGAAAATGTAAAAGAACTCTTTTCCACAAGTACAGGGTCTATAGCTAGGAGAGTACCAATCAAGTCTAGGAAAGACTTGAAGTCAGTCATCGTGTAGTAGTTTTTCAATAATGTGACAAATGTTGAATAGCTTGGGTTGGGTGCGGTTCAGAGGCGTGGGACTTCCTTGCTGGCTGCGTGCCAAACAAGTCGCAACTAATGGAGGAAAATAATTGGTAATTTCATGATGAAAAAGGAATTGCCCATTTTATACGGATATAAATATGGAAAAATCATATGCACCAAATGCATGTAACAATAAAATTAGGGTTACAAGAGAGAGCTGTCTTAATCAGAATCTATTATCAGCTTGGAAGAACTTGAATAATCCATATCTCGGAGCCTTTATTTAAGGAATACTGTCTTATCAATTATGTATCAAGTACTTGGATAGCAAATAGACGATTACCTATAATTGAAGAAAATAGAAATATTAAATTTTTTTTTTTTTTCATATGTTGTACAAAGTCGCTATTTGGTCTAATGTATGTATATCAGAATACACTAAATCTGACAAGTTTTTGCAATTTCAATGCACAACTAACATTTTCAGATGCAGCTAATATTGGTCACTGTACCGTTATGCACAACTAACATTTTCCGATGCAGCTAATATTGGTCACTGTACCGTTTTAGTGGCAGAGCTTTGGAGCCTTTTTCATGATCTCACTCTAGCTTGGAACAAAAAGTTAAATCAAATCTTAGTTGAGGTTGATAATCTCAATGTTTGTTAGCTGGTTATTCAAGTGTCCTCTAATAATAATATCACTTGCCAGATTAAGTGAGAGATAAATACGAAAGTTATTGATAAACAATCATAATATCCTTCATCGGCCCTGAATCAATGATAAGGTTATATCATTAGTTGAAGATGATGTTGGATTTAATTTTCTATTGTGAGCTTAATATGTAAAATTAAATATGTACAGCAGTCCAATTGTAAAGTCAATTTTAAATGTGGTCTTGATTGTGAATATTCTTACTGCCTAACATTAAAACCACAGACGCCATGCTCGGCCTGTCCACTGCCTGTTGTTGAACGCATAAGAGGCTGATATGGATGCATCGCTTCACTTCTGATAAATTGCATGGCTCCATTAAAAATGGTTCAACCAATTCCAATACATTTCCTTCATTCCACAATCTCCATGTCTGAAATGCACCACATACTTATGTTTTTGACAAATACAAGAAATTTAAAACAATTTAACCAAAAAAAAAAAAAAAAAAAAATGAAATTTAGACCAAATAAGTTCAGTTCTTCAGGTTTCAAAATTGAAATGAAAATTGAAATATTAAGTTCATTTCAATTCCTTATTTTAAGTTTACTTTTTAAATTTTTGGAGTGCCACCAAATATGGCCTCGAAACTTACATATCCAATAAGGTTAAGACTATGGTCTGGGTTGATGAAAAATCCCACGACTTTTCTTCCCAGTTGTTATCTCTAGCATTCAGATACCAAAGGCTAAAAAACATCAGATTTAACTGAAAATAGCCCAATCGCTGGCATACTCTTTGGGCGCCATATAAACCGCTGCAAACAATTATCAGTGAAACACGTTTCACACAAGGAAGTAATTAATTCATATAAACCTTGGAAATGAATACAACACTTTACTATGTTGCCAACCACCCACCTTCTGGTATTTCCTTTCAGTCTGGTCTCCTCCAAAAAGTTCTGGCCATGCTATAAAAATATTTATACAATAATAAAAATGAAGTAGCTCAATGACAAAGAGTCGTTAAAGGGATTGATCTTCATGCAATATAAATTCAATTTTTTGCAATGAAAATTCTCTCCAGGTCAGCTTCTTCCCCTAGCAATTCCACACACAATCTTGAAACGCTTGGACCAATCTAATAGTTTTCCTCTAGTTTGGATCTGGCAATTCAGTTTCAGTTCCTTTTTAGAGACAGGGAAAACAGATTATAAAATTTCATAACAAATAAAGAATTATCATAGCTTGAATATGCAGTGCATGAACAGTTCTGTAAGCATTTAGCTCTGCATTCATTGAGGTTCATACTTTCATTTGCCCAAGTATCTCTAATATCTGGTAATTTTAACCCTTTGAATTTGATAAAACCGTCACTGCTGCAGTTCAATGAATTGTTACGGACACACCCTTGAGAAAAATCCTTTGAGTACCAGTTCTCCGGCGATTTAGGACTGAATCCTTTCAAACAGTGACAATCTGGTGTTAAAATCATCCGTTGAAAGTTCCAGGACAGAAGTTTTTTATGTTCTGTACATCATTTTTGCTAACAGATTATAGGCTTAACCTACTTGTATACAGGGTCCAAAACCACCTTGTTCCCAGCTTATTTGGCCGAACGAAAATTTGTGGTTGCTATGTATATTGTTGGCAAAGTCAAATAATGGCAAAAAGTCAAATAATGGCAGCTCCAGTTCCTCGTCTGATTCTTGATTTTTGTCTTGTATTTTATTATTTTCTAAAGCAAAGAGATGTCATTTGCATCTTCTAAAAATTAAACCTTTCCAAAAAAAAGTCCACAGTAGCTAAATGCATTACTTTTACCTTTTAGTTTTTTCCCGCTTTTGAAGTAGTAATAGCTGACTGCTAGGATTCCAGAAGTTGCAATAACAGAAGGGATGATTATCATCACCAACATCTTCTTGTTCTGATTACCTCCCACATCTTCTAAACCAACTTTTGATTCATGGGACAAAAAACCAAGTCAAATAAAACTATAAGACAGGCTTTGATAATCAAAATAAATATACATAGCAGAATATACCTGAAAACGTGCAAAAGAGTTGAAAGTAAAATTAAAAACTAAGATTTTACCCAATTCAGAAGCAGACATTCGAATGTATAGATCCTGTCCATTAACAGGAATTTCTCTGATATCAGTCAAATCATTTAACCAAATGATACAACCGTTGCCTCCATTTCTAATATCATAGCTTGAATATGCAGTGCATGAACAGTTCTGTAAGCATTTAGCTCTGCATTCATTGAGGTTCATACTTTCATTTGCCCAAGTATCTCTAATATCTGGTAATTTTAACCCTTTAACCCTAGTGAACTTTTAATATCTGGTAATTTTAACCCTGTGAATTTGATAAAACCGTCACTGCTGCAGTTCAATGAATTGTTACGGACACACCCTTGAGAAAAATCCTTTGAGTACCAGTTCTCCGGCGATTTAGGACTGAATCCTTTCAAACAGTGACAATCTGGTGCTGTAGAAGTTTTACAAATTCCAAAGCTACCACAAATGTCATAAGAATCACAGTGATCGGATGGAAAATAAAACTGCCGATGCCAAGATTGAGAAGTTTGATCCCATAATATGAACTCAAGTCTATTGTTGGTTTGGTTCAGTACAGGCCTGTATGTTAGACTGGTATTCATTTGGTTGAATAAATAGTAAACTTCCTCTTCATTACGCACAAACTTTGTATCATCAACCTGGCTAGGCGTAAATTGTGGTAGACCACTAAATGTAACGCCATTCCATGGCCCTGATCGAAACAAGATACTGGAGCCTTTCCTGATAGCTGATTCTCAACAATATCATGTACTACTCCTAAGTCCCAAAAAAAGTCCCCAGGCGACGGATCATCCCAGTTTTTCCATGATACAAGACGCATACTATGTTGGGGCTTCAATTTCTCTCCAATCTTCATTCCTGCTAGTAATGTATCAGTTGGATAATCAAAGCTCTGCCACAAGTATATTCCAGAATTTCCATTATTTCCATCTCTTAAGATAAGATTCCCGGAATCCAGGAGCTGTACTACTGGATTTTGGGCTTCCTTCGTTGAGTTTGACGATGACCAAACAACGCCGTTGTTGCTATTAATAAGAACAAGATTTTTACTTGTACTGTCTATCATCAGCAAACAAGTAGAATCATTGATTGGATTGCTCCGATTTGCCACCCAAACGACAGTTCTAAAACGACAGTTCTAACTGGAATTTTTTTGCACCAAATGCCCAAGTAACGCGTCCCGGAACTACCAGGACTAAAGAAACCAAGCTCAAAAATTCCATCTTTTGAAACTAAGGTCTGGCCATCAACAATTGATTCCGATGAAGTAAGAGTATCAGTTGCATTTGAGAATTTGCAGAACAAAAATAGTAAATTATAGTAAATTAGTTATGACCAAAATAAAAGAAAGGGCGCAAATTAGCTTGGAACGGTGAGACATTTCTGCTTACTGCTTCTTTGATGCGATATCTAATTATATATATATATATATACACACACACGTATAAATGCGCTTTAGATATGCATAGCGATTGACTTTTTGAGCAAAGTAATAAAAGATGGCTCAGCTATGGTTCAGACATGTTCCAAATATGGTTCATGCAAATGTCATATGATAATGTAACATTATTGGAATGGCTCAGCTATAGAAATCTAATTTTTTTTTTTTTTTAATGGCACTCTAACTTTAAAGTTGACAGTTAGTCCTTCAATTTATCAAATTTTATAAATAGAATACTTTAATTTGTAAAATAAATATATTATATTCAATCAGTGGAACACTTTATACATCTTTTAATCACAAATTATTAAATAATGATTTTCATAATTTTTCTTAGTATCTTATAAATATTCAATTAGTATAATTTTATAAATTGAAATATTAAATACATGTAATTTTATAAATTAAACTGTTCAATAAATATAATTATGCAAATTTAAGGATTTGATCGATGAATGAATAAAAAAATTGAGCATATCACTACTAAGTTTTTCTTGCAAAATTTAGGTATCAAACTTATACATTTAGCCGCCGGGAATTAATTGATCAAGTGAAAACTCTAAATTTTCATGCATTTTATAACTTAGAAGTTGCTACGAATGCTATCTGATAACGATATTTGGATGTAGACGCATTCGAAATAAATTACTAATAAGGGGAAAAAAAAGAACTCTTAAAGGAAAATAATAACTTCCTTACAAGGAGAAAAATACACAGAGGCTCGGTCAAAGCTAATTAACATATTTTGCTGCTTTTATGAAAGCAAAGAAAAAAAAAGCTGCTTTTATGAAAGCAAAGAAAAAAAAATACCATTGGCTGTTTTGCTAGTTACCATTTGCTGTTTTAATGTGTTTTCTTTTCTTATTCTCTTATTATGTCAATTAAGAAGCAATTCATATATCAATTCAATCAAATTTTTTATTATTACATTTGTTTTTTCACTTGGTCTGCATGGTAAAAATATGAAAATTCAGGGATCAAAAAGATTGTTCCATTAATTAAAGCGAGAAAGATTAAAATTTAATTAAAAAAGAAAAGGATAGAAAATTTAGAAGTTTAAAATCATACGTGAATACTTTGGATCACAATAATTTTCACCAATTTAGTGAATTAAGAAAATAAATACTTCTATTATATAGTCCATAGTATGTTATTCTGATCTATTATAAGCTTCCCAGTGAATACAAAAATAAAAATCAGATGATTCTCCTAAAGAAATATCAAAATGTAATGTAATTTTTTTTTTTGTCAATGTCCTTGGAATTTCAGGATATAGACTTTTCTTGCGTCTAAAAATTTTAATGCCCCATGAGCCAGTTAGTTGAGATTTCGCTTTTTGGAAAAGTCTAGATTAGATATTTGTAATCAAAATTAATTACTTGTCGTTTGAATTCAGGAAAAATGTTAGGATTGAAAATCTTACTGATCACTAACCCCTTATTTGGTATAAATAAATTATACAAAATATTATGAAGCTTTATTGTTTTGTTTTTGACATTTTCATCGAAGTGATAATACGTACAAATGAATTTTATTAGTGAAACTAATTTATAAATGATATGAATTTCTCACTCGTTCGATCCAAACAAATATATTAATAAATATTAAATAATAATTTTATGTAATGAAAAGAATTTTTATTATAAATACAAATAATCAATCGAAAATTCAAAAGGGTTCTAGCCGCAAAGGGTTCTAGCCGCGCAATCAAGAGATTTATTTGGTCATGAAAGATTTATTTTTGGTCATGAAGGAAACTTAATACATAGAATAAAATGAAATGAAATAAAAAATAACCAATAAATGTTGAGATAATGGTCACTCTTAATACGTGAAACTGACATTATTGCAAGTTGTGGTTTATGTGTGGAACTAGATAGGCATTAGGACTTTGTTGCTACGTTGCAAACAAGTCACTGTATAAAATGTAGGTTCATCAGGAGACTAATTAGTAATTAATTGCATGATCGAGAAAGGTTGCCCATTTTCTACGTACACAATTATTTTGTAAGAACTGCACCTTGCATTTCTTAAAATAAAATAATAAGGATATGAAAGCCTAGTAAGGATATGAAACAAAATAAAATAATATAATAACAGTAGTAACTCTAGAATATAAATAAATTAAAATAAATTATAATAACACATAGCCGTTTTATATCTTTGTGGGGCCTTAGCCCAAAATTGTTAGCCCTAGGTCATTTGTATTTGCACCATAGTTACTAAACCCGATTCCCACACTAGCAATCCGGCTAAGGAATCGGGTGAGTGGGTCATTAATTTAATTAATAGGTCATAAAAGCATTAATTATAGTATATATTAATTAAATAATTATAATTATGAATGACTTGATGAGACAATTGAATTGATTCAGATCGGCCAATTGAACCTCAGTTGCATTAGATCTAATTATCTTTCTTAAATGGTTTAAAAGCAAATTAACCTAATTTTTGAGTTCAGTTTTTTGAGTTACCTTGTCAGGATGATTAAGGTTTAATAACTATCTTTTAAACAACTCAGTATCTAACATTTTATTTGACATTTTAACTTAAACACAATTCAAAAATTTTGAAAATGAAACATGGGAATTTTACAATTCTCCTCTTGATCATATTTTCTTGGCGTCTTGAAGCATTTTATACCTCGTATACACTAATAATCAGATCTAGAATCAAAATTTTTTTTTTTAAATCAGGAAAATCAACTAACTTCTAACCCGCAGAACACAGTCCAATACAGGCGTGTACTTAAGGCATGTAATATGATAGACAAATTTGCATCTAAGATAGTAGCCGTTTAACACACTGAAGAAATTTGGACAAGGATAAACAACACCAGTGATAGCAGTTTCATGATCCATTATCGACCCTGCAACTCTGATAAGCTAATTTCATTTTTTGAAGATGATCCTGGATTGCTCGATGGAGATTGTGTTTCTAGCGGACGTGATTCTATCAAAAAACCAGGTTTTTTGGGCTGTGGCAGTTCATTCTTGCTGCCTAACATTAAAACCACAGTTGCCATGCTTGGCCTGTCCTCTGCATGTTGTTGAACGCATAAGAGGCTGATATGGATGCATCGTTTAACTTCTAATAAACTGCAAGACTCCATTAAAAATGATTCCACCAATTCCAAGACATTCCCTTCATTCCACAATCTCCATGCCTGAAACATACCAAAAGCTTTTATTGATAGACAAATTAATACACAAATTTTAGAATCAAATAAGTTTTATTCTCAGGCTTTTATCCTTCTCTTTAGTTCCATCCAACATAAAGTTATTCAAATAATAACAATATCTAAAAAAATTAGATTTCACGAGAACCAAACAGAAGATATAAAATCCTATTCCAAGTTCATTCTAAATTTTTGATTCCAAGTTCATTCTAAATTTTGGATTGAGTTCATTCTAAATTTTGGATTGAACAACACTTACATATCCAATAAGGTTAACGCTGTGGTCTGGGTGATAAAATCCACGACTTCTCTTTCCAGTAGTTGTCTCTAACATTAGGATACCGAAGCTAAAAACATCAGATTTGACTGAAAATAGCCCATCACTGGCATACTCTGGCGCCATATAACCACTACAGAACAATTACCAGTGAAACACATTTATCACAAGGAAGTAATTAATCATATCAACTTGGAAATGAAACTTGGAAATGGAATACAATACTTACTATGTTTCCCAACCACCCTTCTATGTGTGTTCCTTCAGTCTGATCTCCTCCAAAGTTTCTGGCCATTGCCAAAAAATCTGAAATTTTTTGGGTATCATCTCATTTCAGTAATACGTACTGGGTTTTAAGATCTCTATGTATAATCTTTAATCTTGAATCTAATCTTGAATCTTGATGAAGATAGAGAAGCCCCCTAGCAATTCCACACACAATCTTGAAACGCTTGGACCAATCTAATAGTTTTGCTCTACTTTGATCTGACAATTCAATTTGATTTCAATTTTCAGGGAAATATTTAAACAAGCAAGAAAAATTTACAACAAAAAAAAAAAAAGAATTTATTAGTATTTGAGGCATTCATACCAAAAATGAAGTAGTCTAGACTTTTGTTTGGCATATAGTCATAGATCAGAAGTCTCTCGTCTCCCTTAATGCAACAACCATGAAGCTTTACAAGATTTCGATGCTGAAGTTTGGCAATCAATTTAACTTCATTTTTGAACTCGATTAATCCTTGTCCAGAATTGCTTGATAACCTCTTAACAGCAATCTCTTTTCCATCTGATAGTATTCCCTAGGAAAATTAGGAAATTATCCGTTAAAAGTTTCAGGGACAGAAGTTATGTTCGTTCATTTTTGCTAACAGATTATAGGCTTAACTACCTGTGTATACAGGTCCAAAACCACCTTGTCCCAGCTTATTGGTCGAACGAAAATTTGTTGGTTGCATAAATTTGTTGGTTGCATGTGATATTGTGGCAAAGTCAAATAATGGCAGCTCCAGTTCCTCGTCTGATTCTTGATTTTTGTCTTGCATTTTATTTTTTTCTAAAGCAAAGACATGTCATTTGCATCTTCTAAAAATTAAACCTTTCCAAAAAAAAGTCCACAGTAGCTAAATGCATTACTTTTACCTTTTAGTTTCTTCCGGCTTTTGAAGTAGTAATAGCTGACTGCTAGAATTCCAGAAGTTGCAATAACAGAAGGGATGATTATCACCATCATCTTCTTGTTCTGATTACCTCCCACATCTTCTAAACCAACTTTTGATACAAAGGAGGAACCAAGGAAAATAAAACTATAAGACATCAGAGAAAATACCTGAAAACATGCAAAAGAGCAAAATAAAAAACCAAGATTTTGTACCTAGTTCAGAAGCCGACATCCGAATGTATAGATCCTGTCCACCAAAAGCAATTTCTCTGATATCAATCAAATGTTCAGAAGCCGACATCCGAATGTATAGATCCTGTCCACCAAAAGCAATTTCTCTGATATCAATCAAATCACTAAACCAAATGATACAACCGCTGCCTCCATTTCTAATATCATAGCTTGTGTATGCAGTGCAAGAACAGTTCTTGAAGCATTTAGATCTGCATTCATTAAGGTTCATGCTTTCATTTGCCCAAGTATCTGTAATATCTGGTAATTTTAACCCTGGGAATTTGATAAAACCGTCACTGCTGCAGTTCAATGAATTGTTACGGACACACCCTTGAGAAAAATCTGCTGAGTACCATTTCTCTGGCGATTTAGGACTGAATCCTTTCAAACATTGACAATCTGGTGTTGTAGAAGCTTTACAAATTCCAAATCTACCACAAATGCCATAAGAATCACAGTGATCCGACGGCAAATAAAACTGCAGAAGCCAAGATTGAGAAGTTTTATCCCATAATAGCAACTCAAGTCTATTGTTGGTTTGGTTCAGTATAGGCCTGTATATTACAGTGTCATCTTTTTGGTGGTATAAAATGTAAACTTCCTCTTCATTACGCTCAAACTTGAAATCATAAACTTGGTTAGGCCTTAATTGTGGTATACCGCTGAATGAAATGCCATTCCATGGGCCTGATCGCATCAAGATACCCGAGCCTTTCCAGATAGCTGATTCAACAATATCATGTACTACTCGTAAGTCCCAAACAAAGTCCCCTGGTGATGGATCATCCCAGTTTTTCCATGATACAAGACGCATACTACGTTGGGGCTTCAATTTCACTCCAATCTTCATTCCTGCAAGTAATGTATCAGTCGGATAATCAAAGCTCTGCCATAAGTATGTTCCAGAATTTCCATTCTTTTCATCTCTTAAAACAAGATTCCCGGAATCCAGGAGCTGTGCTACTGGATTTTGGGCTTCTTTCGTAGAGTTTGATGACCAAACAAGGCTGTTCTTGCTGATAAGTACAAGATTTTTAGATGTTCTGTCTATCGTCAGCAAACTAGAAGAATCGTTAATTGCATTGCGTTGGTTTGCCACCCAAACGACAGTTCTAACTGAGACCTTTTTGTACCAAATTCCGAAGTAACGCTTCCTGGAACTACCAGGACTGAAGAAACCAAGCTCATAATTTCCATCTTTTGAAACTAAGGTCTGGCCATCAACAATTGATTGGGATGAAGTAAGAGTATCGGCCATCAACAATTGATTGGGATGAAGTAAGAGTATCGGATGCATTTGAGAATTTGCAGAACAAAAATAGTAAATTAGTTATCAACAAAATAAAAAAAAGAGCATAAATTAGTTTGGGACAGTAGGACATTTCTGCTTACGACTTCTTTGATACGATATCTAAATTATATATAAATGTGCTTTAGATATGCATAGCGATAGACTTTTTGATGCACAATAATTAAAAATGGCTCAAAGGTGTCCAACACAACTGAAATTTTTTTTAAAAAAAAATATAAATGAATGACCATATATAGTTTGATTCCAATTTTGATAGGCTTGCTTCCAATTTGGTTCTAATTTGAAATGAACCATGATCATGTGTCTAGTTAGACTTCATGATACAAGTATGAAAGTTCAAGAATTAAAACGATTATTTCATTAATTGAAAAGAGAAAGATAAAAATTTGATTGAAAAATAAAAGAACAGTAAATTCGAAAGTGAAAAATCATATAATTCTCCGAAAATATATGTAATTCCCATGAGCAAGACATTTCGCTCTGTTGGAAAGTCTAGGAAAGAAATTGATTGGGTTCATGTTCAATTGCCTTTGCTAGTGGAGGATGCTGTTTATGTCCATTTGCATTTAGGCAATTTTTAATTTTGTATATGATGTTCATCAATAATTCAATATATATGTAGTTTTATATATTTTAGTTTGAGGAACAATGAATTAAAATTTTTATAGTAGGATTTAATTTGTAATTTATGAAACTTGTTTTTTTATATGTATATATATTTAATTATTTTATAGCTTAATAACATTGTGTTTTCTTTTTTTTTCTTTTTTTTAAAAAAAATAAAAAAATAAAATAAAAGATGAAAAATTAATTAAAATTTTTTAAAATAAAATGAAAGAAACAAAAAAATAAAAATAAAAATAAAAATGAAAAATTAATTAAATTTTAAAATAAAATGAAGAACATAACTAATAAATGATATAGAAAATATAAATTAAAATTTAGAAAACAGCAGTAATTTAAAAAGATTTTTCATTTTCTAAATTTAGAAAATAATTTTCCAAATTACAATATAAGAATATAATCTCCATTTTATTTCAAATTTTCCCTCTCCCTAAAAAATAGAAAATGTCAAAAAAACACTCTTTTCCACACATACAGGGTCGATAGCTAGGAGAGTACTAATCAAGTCTGGGAAAGACTTGAAGTCAGTCATCGTGTAGTAGTTTTCCAAGTTGAAAAGCTTGGGTTGGGGTGGGGTTTAGAGGCGTAGGACTTCTTTGCTGGCTGCGTGCCAAACAAGTCGCAATTAACGGAGGAAAATAATTGGTAATTTCATGATGAATAAGGAATTGCCCATTTTATACGGATATAAATATGGAAGAATCATATGCACCAAATGCATGTAACAATAAAATTAGGGTTACACGACTAGAGAAGAGCAAAAAAAGATTAGTTAATTTTGTTTTTTCACTTTTATTAGTTGGCTAATTTATTCATCAGTTAAATAATTAAAGTTATTTTTGGAAGTTTAAACGATAATAATAAGTTTGATTTGCAGATGTAAATATTTAATCAATAGAGCCTCGTAGTGTTGTTCCTCTATTGATGCTATTGATATATATAGTGGCCGGAACTTATCTGTATACCTCATAAGATATATAGTAAGGAGACTCATCTATATCCACCATATGTTACAAGTTCTTGTAAAAATAATCCAGATATAAAAGGTTTAGAGAAATTATTATTTTGCTGTCCAAATCAATTAAAAAATTTGTTACTATTATGAATATTTACATAGTTTGTTAAGATCATTTTCAAGCGGAACAATAGAATATTATCTCTTTTATTTTTAGTTCTATTATTCAAAAGAATATATACAATTCTTTTGATTTGTTAAAAAATAAGTAAATTTTATTAACTTCTTATAAAAATGTTTCATGTCTGATCATATTTTTATTTATAACGTTTGATATTATAATTAATGAATAATATCTTTCAAAAGAGAAAGTAACACAAGGGACAAAACGATCAATAGTAATTACAAGAAAGACTATAAGAATGCTCCACTAGGGTTATTGACTTGCTTAAACCAATCCAATTTATTTGAAAAAGAAAGAGATGAATAAGAATTTTGAAAGTTTCCAATTGGGTAAACTTTTTTCCAAAAATAAAAATTCATTTGGCACTTTAAAATTAAAATTCTTAAGGAAAAATAAAAATTCACTTGCGCCTTCTATGGGGGCTTGGGCGTAAAGGGGCCATGGGACTTTCATCACTACGGGTGCGTCCAAAACCATCCGTTAAAGCTCTGTAACCAGTTCTCATAATTTTGCATTGTCACCTATTCAAATGAACTGATACACATACAAATACTATTGACAAACAACACTAGTGCAGGGAAAGCTAGCAGCACACCAGAATATAGGCGAGTAACAAGTGCACGTAGGACCTGAAAAAACATTCAGATTCGAATTCTCTCTCCCGATTACAAAAAAGAAAAAACAAGTGCAGCTAATATGTATTATGTAAATGTAAATAAAAAATTATATCTTTTAATTCCATGTCACAATTTTTTTAAAAATTATTATATTCCGTATGCACATCATGTCCCATGTTGTATTTGGTGCCCGTGTTCGCGTCACTCAGAGTATACATTTGATCACATACATTTTTTTTTTTTGCCTGTGAAGCGGGAGTTCAGTTTTAGACATGTAGACTTGTCTAACATAACATGGCATATTTGATAGTATTTGTTAGTACGAACAACAGTGTTATTTGGTCATCAAATTTAAAGAAGAGCTTCTTGATTCATCAGGAAAGAAAAGGATACCAATTCTGAAATCTTTTTGTGTCAAAGATTCGAATATCCTTCTGATACGTACTTCCATTGAAGCTTGGATGGGACAGAGAGAGCTGTCTTAATCAGAATCTATTATCAGCTTGGAAGAACTTGAATAATCCATATCTCGGAGCCTTTATTTAACGAATACTGTCTTATCAATTCTGTATCAAGTACTTGGATAGCAAATAGACGATTACCTATAATTGAAGAAAATAGAAATATTAATTTTTTTTTTTCATATGTTGTACAAAGTAGCTATTTGGTCTAATGTATGTATATCAGAATACACTAAATCTGACAAGTTTTTGCAATTTCAATGCACAACTAACATTTTCAGATGCAGCTAATATTGGTCACTGTACCGTTTTAGTGGCAGAGCTTTGGAGCCTTTTCCATGATCTCACTCTAGCTTGGAACAAAAAGGAGCTTTGGAGGCCTTTTCCAATGATTCTCACTCTAGCTGCGGAACAATAAAGTTAAATCAAAAATTCTTAGTTTGAGGGATTGACAATCTCAAAGTTTGTTAGTGGTTATTCATTCAAAGTGTCATTAATAATAATTATCACTTGCCCAGATTTAAGTGAGAAGATAAATACAAAAGTATTGATAAACAATCATAATACTTCTTTCATCGGCCCTGCAGGTACGCAACCTTTTCTTATTCAATCTATTTTGTTGAATCTAGTGGTTTGCACGATCTAGGTTATTATTGAATTATTTGAGATTAATTCATAAAAAAACCAGGTTTTTTGGGCTGAGGAAGTTCATTCTTACTGCCTAACATTAAAACCACAGACGCCATGCTCGGCCTGTCCTCTGCCTGTTGTTGAACGCATAAGAGGCTTATATGGATGCATCGCTTCACTTCTGATAAATTGCATGGCTCCATTAAAAATGGTTCAACCAATTTCAATACATTTCCTTCATTCCACAATCTCCATGCCTGAAATGCACCACATACTTATGTTTTTGACAAATACAAGAAATTTAAGACCATTTAACCCAAAAAAATAAAATAAAAAAAAAATGAAAAAAGAAATTTAAGACCAAATAAGTTCAGTTCTCAGGTTTCAAAATTGAAAATGAAAATGAATATTAAGTTCATTCAATCCTATTTTAAGTTTACTTTTAAATTTTGGAGTGTAAATTTTGGAGTGGACCAAATATGGCCTCGACACTTACATATCCAATAAGGTTAAGACTATATGGTCTGGGTGATGAAATCCACGACTTTTCTTCCCAGTTGTTATCTCTAGCATCAGGATACCAAAGCTAAAAACATCAGATTTAACTGAAAATAGCCCATCGCTGGCATACTCCGGCGCCATATAACCGCTGCAAAACAATTACCAGTGAAACACATTCACACAAGGAAGTAATTAATCATATAAACTTGGAAATGAATGCAACACTTACTATGTGCCAACCACCCTTCTGGTATTTCCTTCAGTCTGGTCTCCTCCAAAAGTTCTGGCCATGCCAAAATCTGAAATTTTTGGGTTCAAAGTAGAGCAAAACTATTAGATTGGTCCAAGCGTTTCAAGATTGTGTGTGGAATTGCTAGGGGACTTCTCTATCTTCATCAAGATTCAAGATTAAGAATTATACATAGAGATCTTAAACCCAGTAACGCATTACTTGATAATGAGATGAACCCGAAAATTTCAGATTTTGGCTTGATCTGGAATTCAGTTTTTCAGTTCCCATTTTAAGAGACACAGGGAAAACAGATTAAAAATTTCAGAACAAAATAAAGCATTATCGTAATTTGAGGCATCCATAACCAAAAATAAGTAGTCTAAACACTTTTGGTTTGGCATGTAGTCATAGAATCAGAAGTCTTCTCATCCTCCCTTAACAACGCACAACCAATGAAGCTTTACAACGATTTTCGATGCCTGAAGCTTCGCAATACAATTTAACTTATTTTTTGAACTCGAATTAATGCCTTGGTACAGAATTGCTTGGAATAACCTCTTAACAGCAATCTCTTTTCCATCTGATAGTTTCCTAGGAAAATCATCCGTTGAAAGTTTCAGGGACAGAAAAGTTTTTTTATGTCGTACATTCATTTTGCTAACAGATATAGCTTAAACTACCTTGTAATACAGGTCAAACCACCTTGTCCCCAGCTTATTGCCGAACGAAAAATTTGTTGGTTTGCATGTGATAATTGTGCAAAGTCAAATAATGGCAGCTCCAGTAAAGTCAAATAATGGCAGCTCCAGTTCCTCGTCTGATTCTTGATTTTTGTCTTGTATTTTATTATTTTCTAAAGCAAAGAGATGTCATTTGCATCTTCTAAAAATTAAACCTTTCCAAAAAAAAGTCCACAGTAGCTAAATGCATTACTTTTACCTTTTAGTTTTTTCCCGCTTTTGAAGTAGTAATAGCTGACTGCTAGGATTCCAGAAGTTGCAATAACAGAAGGGATGATTATCATCACCAACATCTTCTTGTTCTGATTACCTCCCACATCTTCTAAACCAACTTTTGATTCATGGGACAAAAAACCAAGTCAAATAAAACTATAAGACAGGCTTTGATAATCAAAATAAATATACATAGCAGAATATACCTGAAAACGTGCAAAAGAGTTGAAAGATTAAAAACTAAGATTTTACCCAATTCAGAAGCAGACATTCGAATGTATAGATCCTGTCCATTAACAGGAATTTCTCTGATATCAGTCAAATCATTTAACCAAATGATACAACCGTTGCCTCCATTTCTAATATCATAGCTTGAATATGCAGTGCATGAACAGTTCTGTAAGCATTTAGCTCTGCATTCATTGAGGTTCATACTTTCATTTGCCCAAGTATCTCTAATATCTGGTAATTTTAACCCTGGTAATTTTAACCCTGTGAATTTGATAACCGTCCAACTTGCTGCGCAGTTCAATGAATTTGTTTACGGACACACCCGTTGAGAAACAATCCCTTTGAGTACCAGTTCTCCCGCGCGATTTAGGACTGAATCCTTTCAAAACAGTGACAATCTGGTGTTATGAAAGTTTCTATTTCCTTAAGCTTTGTGAATGTTTGCTTCTTATTAATACAATTATATTTGGTGTTTTGTGTTAGTATTATTTTGGTTGCATTTCCCGTTATTATTTTTAGTATTATAAATTATTAATCAATCTTGGAGTTCACTGCGCTGATATCCAACAAGACTGTATCCCTTTGGTAGAATAAATAGTAAACTTCTTCTTCATTACGCGCAAACTTTGGATCATAAACCTGGCTAGGCGTAAATTGTGGTAGACCACTAAATGTAACGCCATTCCATGGCCCTGATCGAAACAAGATACTGGAGCCTTTCTTGATAGCTGATTCAACAATATCATGTACTACTCCTAAGTCCCAAACAAAGTCCCCAGGCGACGGATCATCCCAGTTTTTCCATGATACAAGACGCATACTATGTTGGGGCTTCAATTTCTCTCCAATCTCTCCAATTTTCATTCCTGCTAGTAATGTATCAGTTGGATAATCAAAGCTCTGCCATAAATATATTCCAGAATTTCCATTATTTCCATCTCTTAAGACAAGATTCCCGGAATCCAGGAGCTGTACTACTGGATTTTGGGCTTCCTTCGTTGAGTTTGACGATGACCAAACAACGCCGTTGTTGCTATTAATAAGCACAAGATTTTTACTTGTACTGTCTAGCACAAGATTTTTACTTGTACTGTCTATCATCAGCAAACAAGTAGAATCATTGATTGGATTGCTCCGATTTGCCACCCAAACGACAGTTCTAACTGGAATTTTTTTGCACCAAATGCCCAAGTAACGCGTCCCGGAACTACCAGGACTAAAGAAACCAAGCTCAAAAATTCCATCTTTTGAAACTAAGGTCTGGCCATCAACAATTGATTCCGATGAAGTAAGAGTATCAGTTGCATTTGAGAATTTGCAGAACAAAAATAGTAAATTATAGTTTAATGAAAAAAAATAAAAGAAGGGCGCAAATTAGCTTGGGACGGTGAGACATTTGCTGGCTTACTGCTTCTTTGATGGCGAATATCCTAAACTATATTGAGAGCCATCAGAGGCCTCTCTAGACCACTCCTTCATCCATCCCATCCACAAACCTATAATCTCTAAACATATTTCCATATCTTCTAGAAAAATCCCGCAAAATATCCATATTAAAAAATAATATTAATTCAAGAAAAAAATCTTCTAGGTTGGCCAACTTTATATCTGACTTTCTGTTTTTTTTCACAAACTTTTATAAAGTAAAAAAAAAAAAACCTTTAAACGGTAAGCTCATGATACATTTTGGTTTGATTTTGGATTATTTTAAAATTAGTGTTTTCTGGTTTGGTTTGATTGATTATTAAATGTATTAATAGTATTGAATTTAATTTGGATTATTTTTGTGTTAGTTTTTTTGATTTGGTTTTTTGATTTGATTTGATTATTTAATGTATTAATGTATTGGCTTGGTTTGGTTTGGATTTATTTTGAATTAGTGTTTTTGGTTTGGTTTGATTGATTATTTAATGTATTAATGTATTGGTTTAGTTTGGATTTATTTGAGTTAGTGTTTTTGGTTTGGTTTGATTGATTGATTATTCAAAGTATTAATGTATTGGCTTGGTTTGGTTTGGATTTATTTTGAATTAGTGTTTTGGTTTGATTTGATTTAATTATTCAATGTATTAGTGTATTGGTTTAGTTGGATTTATTTTGAGTTAGTTTTTTGATTTGATTTGATTTTATTATTTATTTGAAAATAAATTAATTTATGATTGAATTAAATCGTTTTAAATGTAATTGATTAATATAACGTTAGAGAATTAATAGTGTGTTAAAATTAATAGTGTGTTAAGTAACTATTTATATAACTTTTAATGATATAAATAAATTACATAATCTATAAATTTTAATGAAATGGGCATTTGTTATTTTATATTAAAAAATTAAAAATTTTTGTATTAAATTAAATTGTGTTAAATATAATGAATTAATTATAGCATTAATAATATGATAAGTCGAAGATTTATACAATTCTTAATTATTTAAAATAAATTATTTATTCATAGATTTTAATGAAATAATGAATTAATTATGTTTTACATTAATTTTAAAGTAAATCAAATTAATGAATTTCACCGCCTTTCATTTTACTTTTTTTTTAATTTATTTCTATAAATTTCATTATTTTAAATCCATGTTCTTGAACACACATATCTACTAATTTTTACTTTAATAATTAAAAATCACGCTATATTTTTTTACTATTAATATATCTTAATAATATTTTTAAATAGCATAATAAAAAAAATTTTATTCAAAAATAGCATAATAAAAAAATTTTAATTTAAAATTTAAAAATTATATATATATTTCTCTAAATTTTACTTTTTTTTTTAAAAACCGTGTATAGTTCCGGGTATATTGATTGTTCGAAATAAAGAAAGAAATGACTTTCTCAAGGAGAAAATATACACTAGCTTCCTTTCAGAGCTACTTAACATATTTTTTTCCATTTTTATGAAAAATCAAGAACAAAGTAGAGGAACTTTTTAGTTGTTGTCTTTTTTTTTTTTTTTTTTTTTTTTTTTTTTTTTCTTTCACGCCAATTACTTAGCAATTCATATATCAATTCATATACAGTAAACCAGTTACGACTGTGTCCATATACAGGAAAAAAAAAACAGTGCCATTTTTTAAAAAAATTCTTTTTTTATTGGCTTAGTGGGTAGGACCACTCAAATATTTTCCTAATTCAATAATTTATTTTAAAAAATTATAACATAATTTAAATTGGAAATATTTTTTAGTCTTTGATTTTCACAATTCCTTTATTTTTTATGGATTCAAATTGAAATAATGACTTTAAAAATGAAACCATTGGTACTAATATAAAAAAAAAGAGAGAGAGAGAGAGAGAGAGAGAGAGAGAGAGATCAGAACTCAACCATTACAAACTGTTTTAGTTCCTATTTAGAATAAAAAATGGTTGACTATAGTCTGATTTCTTCTAGGACTTTTTAGGGCTCCCAAGTTCCATCTGGGTTTTGTGTGAAGCTAAAGGACTTTTTAGGGCTCCCAAGTTCCATCTGGGTTTTGTGTGAAGCTAAATCAGCTTTATCTTTCAAAATTTTAATGCCGTGAGCAGGTTACGTGACATTTCGCTTTTGGAAACGTCAAAGATAAAAAGTCAAGTTGAAGTAGATATCAAATGACTGTTGTCTGAGTTCAGGAATAGATAATGATTGATTCAACGCGTCTTTCCATGAATTTGCCATAAATATTTATAATAATTTTCATAAAGTCGCCGTCTAAGTCCGAAAGGGAGACGCGGTATTAATTATCTCGAACTTCAAATGTAAATTTTTGACCAAGCCTCAGGTATTTTAAAATGATTATAAAACGCTTGGTATAATTATATTCGTAATTTATAAATATATCCTTAGATCGTTTATTTAGTTTATTATCTATCAATAGAATGAATAAATAAAATTTTAAATTAATATTAATTTAAGTTTGCCTTAACTATAATAAATAATTAATTTTAAACAAAAATTTAATTAGTCATTTCCATCGCAACCTATTTCCTATGAAACATATTATTGATTATATCAACACTTTTTTGTTCCTTTTCTTTTTACTCGAGCATTAGGAGTACAAGTACAGCTGAACTTCACCTATATAGATTGCAAGTGCAAATATTGAGTCAATAGTGACAAGTAGAAATAATCAATTGAAAAATATTAAGGAAAAGACTTGTTTAGACCGGATATATGATCCAAATATGGACCAAATAAATGAAACTAAATTTTTTTTTTAAATGTATAATTAGAAATACCTACGTTTCAATAAGAATCTTTAATTTCATTGATTTGGTCCATAAGTAGAGTCATGGCAAGTCTTTTTCAAAAATGGCTCTAGCCAGACTCACTCCCTACTAATAGCAAAGGGCCACACACCACCAATTATTAGGTTTAATTTTTGATGGATGAGGAAACTAAAACTTGAGTCATCAACTTTTTTTTTTCCCCATTATTTTGTGGGCTTGGTTATTGTATAAACTAAACATAACAAGTAGCAACTTGTACTACCAATGCTTTTAATGTGTTGAGCATGACACTGCTGCAAGTAGAGGTTCTGAGAGAAAAGGGCATTGTGTCCATTGGCCAAGCTATCATGTCAGGGTGCTTTTAGCAAGTTGCCAACTAGATAGAACAGATTGCCCGGGGTTTACGGAAGTAGGACTTCCTGGTTACGTGCCAAACAAATCACTATGTTCAACAAGAAAATAGTTAGTAATATCATATGATCGAAAAAGGTGTCAGCCAGATGCCATGAAAATGTGAAAGAATGTTCAGCTGAGCACCAAATGCATGTAAGGAAGGTTCTTATTATCTTTAGCTGCATGCACTCTCAGATATATTTAACACTCCTACTCGACTCTACAGGCCAATGGACATTGTTTCTGTTATTTTAATCAGTGCCAATTTCCTATTTTTCTTTTCTAAATACTCAAAAGCAACTGATACGATTGTTTTGTCTCAGTCTCTAGTTGATTCCAACAATAGCATCTTGGTTTCGAACAATGGAATGTTTGAATTTGGTTTTTTTAGTCCTGGAACTTCCAGCAATCGTTATATTGGAATCTGGTACAAGATTGATCCTGCAACTGTTGTTTGGGTTGCAAACAGGCTCAATCCAATAAATGACTCTTCAGGAATTTTCTGCAACTGTTGTTTGGGTTGCAAACAGGCTCAATCCAATAAATGACTCTTCAGGAATTTTTATTCTAGATAATACAGGAAATCTCACACTTGTTAGTAAGAACAAGAGTGTTATTTGGTCATCAAATTTAGAGAAAATAGTGCAGAATCCAGTAGCACAGCTTCTTGATTCAGGTAATTTAGTCATCAGGGATGACAAGGATAGCTATGCTGAAAGATTTTTGTGGCAAAGTTTTGACTATCCTTCTGATACATTACTTCCAGGAATGAAGCTTGGATGGGACGTAGAGACCGGACTAAATCGGCGTCTATCAGCCTGGAAGAACTTGAATGATCCTTCTCCTGGAGACTTCACTTGGGGAATAGTGTTAAGTGGTAATCCTGAAGGATTTTTATGGAAAGGCTCGAAAAAATATTATCGAAGCAGTCCATGGAATGGTATTGGAAATAGTGGTTCACCGAACTTGAAAGAAAATCAGCTTTATGAGTTCAGTTTTATCTCTAATGAAAAAGAGGTGTACTATACTTATAACCAGAAAAACAGATCTTTCATGCAAAGGATTGTTTTGAACCAAACAAGTTATTTGCGTGAAAGATACACTTGGAACGAAGAAACTCGAACTTGGCGTAGGTGGTCCTTTGTGCCAAGAGACATTTGTGATGGATATGGGCTATGTGGTCCTTATGGAAATTGTATCAGTACTGAGTCACCAGTTTGTCAATGTTTAAAAGGGTTTGTCCCTGCTTCACCTGAAAATTGGAATTCTGCAGATTGGTCTCATGGGTGTGTGAGAAATAATCCATTGAAATGCCATAATGGAGAAGGATTCGTTAACTTTGTTGGCTTGAAATTGCCTGATACTACTAGTTCGTGGGTGAATAGAAGTATGAATCTTAAGGAATGTAGGGCTAAATGCTTACAGAACTGTTCATGCATAGCTTACACTACTTTCGATGTAAGAGCAAAAGGCAGTGGCTGTGCTATTTGGTTTGGTGATCTGAATGATATGAGAACTTCTAAATCAGGGCAGGATCTATATGTTCGCATGTCTGCTTCAGATTTAGGTATATAACTTCCTTCTGTTTTGTTTAAACTGAAAATGAATTTGATTACATTATATTCTATTAATGCTTTCGCAATATAGTTTGTGTTAGAAGTAAAACAATTAATGCTTTCGCAATATAGTTTGTGTTAGAAGTAAAACAACGTTTCACATTTTTTTGTGTCTTTTAGCATTGACTTAAACTGTTTCTGTTTTGCTTCTTCGTGAAGAGAAAAACATTGAGCCTAAGAAGAAAATACTGATGATAGTTGCAATTGTCGTCACCTTGTGTTTTGGCATGCTTATCATTTGCTACTGCGTTCGCAAAAGCAAAGCAAGATTAAAAGGTATAGTTGCTATTTTTCCCGTTTTTTGGTTAAATGGGCTTCAGTTGGGTTGAAATTGTAATCTTATAGCCTTGGAGATAAATAGGGATTTTTTTTCTTCTGTAACAAAAACATGTTAGGATTGAAATTTTTTATCGATTGTTAGATATGTGTCTCAGAAACTAAGAGTAATTCAAAAAGGATCTTAAACAACAAAATTTATAAACATGTGAAGGCTTTTTTTTTATTATATTGAAACACTATTACTGAAGGCTTTTTTTTTATTATATTGAAACACTATTACAGAAGTAATTTAATAGACTCTAAAAACAGAAAACTTCAGAAATTTATAGACTCTAAAAACAGAAAACTTCAAAAAAATAAGCAAACTTATTATGCATATCTGATATGATAAGCATATTAAATTATTCCTTAAAAATAGCAATAGAATAACAAATAATTATCTAATCTTCCAACGGCCTTCACCATAGCTACTAAGTCAACATTCAACAAAATCTCCTCCTTGGCTTAGGAGCAGCAAACTCCAAGTCTTTCTCTTAAATATTCAAATCTAGCCTTGGAGAGAGATTTGGTCAAAATATCAGCATTCTGAAATTCTGAATTGTAGTGCACCAAACTTACTTCACCATTCTTTTGAACTTCCCTAAGGAAATACAATTTAATCTTGAAGTGCTTAGTTTTTCCATGAAATACTGGATTATTTGCAATTGAGATTGCAACCTGGTTGTAGACATAAACCTTTGTACTTCCTTTTTCTTCCATAGACAAGTCAGCTAACAATTTCCTTATCCACAAAGCTTGATTAACTGCTAAAGTGGCTGCAACATACTCTGCTTCAGCTGTGGATTGAGCTATCACATCTTGCTTTTTGGAACACCAGGAAAATACACCAGAACCAAAATTGAAACAGTAACCGGAAGTGCTCTTCATATCATCTAAGCAACCGGCCCAATCACTATCGAAAAAACCATGAAAATTAAAATTCTGAACTTCACTGAACTTAATACCATGGTTTATTGTGCCTTTAATATATCTAATTATACGTTTTGCTGCTTGAAAATAAATCTCACTAGCACAATGCATGTATCTTGACAGCAAACTTACAGCATGCATGATATCAGGTCACGTTGCAGTTAGATACATTAGGCAACCTATTAAACTCTTGTACAGCACCTCATCTACCTTTTTGGCTACATCTTCTTTGCAAAATTTCTCCTTCAGATTCATTGGAGTTGTGGTTGACTTGCAATTCTCCATCTTGATTTTTTTTAGAATCTCCTTGGCATATTTTTGTTGACAAATAAAAACTTCATTTTCTTTTTGATGCACTTCAATTCCAAGAAAAAAAGACATTTCTCCAAGGTCTGTCATTTCAAACACCTCCATCATCTCTGCCTTGAATTGATTTATCATTCTTCCATTGCTACCTGTTATTAATAGATCATCAACATGTTATTAATAGATCATCAACATACAAAGATATTATGAGTATATCTGTTTCTATTTTCTTAACATAGAGAGTGAATTCACTCAAGCTTTTCTCAAAGCCTAAGCTTAGAAGATGAGAATCAATTCGGCTGTACCAAGCCCTAGGGGCTTGCTTCAAACTAAGGCTTTTTTCAAACGATATACTTTATCTTCATCTCTTTTAACTAGAAAACCTTCGGGCTACTCTATAAAAATTTCTTCTTCCAAGTAACCGTTTAAAAAAGCCGACTTTACATCAAGTTGATGAACCTTCCATCCTTTTTGTGCAACTATAACTAATAGCATTCTGATTGTATCAAGGCGAGCCACAGGAGCAAAAGTTTCAGAAAAATCAACTCCAAACATTTGAGCATAACCTTTGACCACCTTTATGGCATTTAATATTTGGTCTCCACCAACACCTTTGTTGAGGATGATTTGTTTTCTTACAATGTGGACATGGCGGATAATTTTTGGCATTTCTTGTCCTCTGTGTCAATTTCCCTTCTTTAATTCGTGAACTTGCTTGATAAGCACCTTCTACAGAAACTTCATTCCTCATAAGCCTTCTTTGCTCTAGAGCCTGTAAAGGATTTAAGAGTTCTGCCAAGGTAATACTTGACAGATCTTTAGAATTTTCCAAAGATGAGATCGTTGCTTCATATTTTTCAGCATCATCAAAAAATTCTAAGGCATCACCATTTTCTTCATCTGTGATAAATGTCTTCAAGTGATCTTGTGCCCCTTATTGGTTCATCATCAAAGGCATCATCAAAAAATTCTAAGGCATCACCATTTTCTTCAACTGTTTTTGGAATTTTGTTATTTTTAGCATCATTCCAACTCCATTTTTCATCTTCCAGCATCTCTGCTGGTTATGACTTTATCCACTTGAGGTAGATAAACTCTGTAAGCTTTTGACGTGTTGCTATAGCCTACAAAGATTCCTGCTTCAGCCTTTCTATCAAGCTTATCCCTTTTCACCTGAGGCACATAAGAAAAACACAGGCATCCAAATATTTTTAAGTTTAACAGAAATGGTTGATGACCAAACCAAGCCTCGAAAGGAGTTTTATTCTTCAAAGCTTTAGTAGAAAGCCTATTCAGTAAAAAAACTGCAGCACTTGCAGCCTCTACCCAGAATTTCTTCGGCAAATCCATTTCATGTAGCAGACATCTTGTCATCTCCATTACCACTCTATTCTTTCTTTCACTTACTCCATTCTGCTGTGGAGTGTATGGTGCCATCAATTGGTGTTCAATTCCTGTGTCTTTACAAAATCTGTTGAATTTATCAGAAGTGTATTCCGTGCCATTATCAAATCGTATGACATGTAACTCACATCCACTTTGATTTTCAACCCATGTTTTGAACTCCCAAAAAATACCAGCAACCTCAGTTTTGGATTTAAGAAAATATATCCAACAGAATCATCATCAATGAATATAATATAATACTTACTACCATTCAAGGATGATACTTTCAGCGGGCCTCCAACATCTGTATGTACAAGTTCTAGCTTATGAGTTGCTCTCCATTCTGTTCTTTTTGGAAAAGGCAATCTGGTCTGCTTTCCATATTGACAGGCTGCACACATCGGCAAATCTTTCTCCAGGTCTGGTAAGCCTTTCACCATTTGATTTTTCTTCATAAATAGCACTGCATTATGATGAAAGTGCCCTAATCGTTTATGCCAAAGCATGGTGTTGCTGTCTCTTTGTGCAACAAAAGTTTGTTCTTGTTCCATGTTCCAATATGTCAAGAACAAAACTTTTGCCTTTCATCTTGATTCTAAACACCTCTTTTCCTTCAGGATCGATGATTATACAACCTTTTTTTTTAAAGAGCACTTCATAATTTTTTTCTAGCAGCTGCCCAACACTTAACAAGTTCCGATCAATATCAGGAACAAATAAAACTTTAGAAATAAGTTTCTGACCTGATAGGCTATCTATGGACACAATTCCTTTGCCTCTTGTAGCAATACGTTCACCATTTCCAATTCTGACTTTGGTGATGACAGTTGTGTCAAGCTCTTTAAATAATTCCCGATCATAGGTCATGTGGTTCGTGCAACCGCTGTCTATAAGCCATCCTTCAGAGTTGTCTGTAGTAACATATGACGCCATAAATAAGTGCTCCCCCTGGTTTTCATCAACAACAGCCTTAGCCTCAACCTCTTCTTGCTGCTGTCCTTTGCATACTTTTTCGATGTGTCCCAACTGACCACATTTATGGCATTTAATATCTGGTCTCCACCAACACCTTTTTCAAAGAAGTCTATCATGTAATCAAAAAAGTTATTGAGAAGTCGATGTCTTACTCCATGATTTTTAGGGAACAAAAGAACAATAGCCTGACACAAAGGGTTCGGTCCAATTTAGCTGTCTTTTTAGACGCCGAACATAATTCATCATTGAATTAAGGCCTTGATAGGGTGAATACCCAGTTTATTCAATGCTAGGCATAATGAGTATAAGGACCTCAAACAATTCTCTTTTCGTCCTATCCTATGAACTTTAAGGTGTATCTGGTCTCCACCAACACCTTTGTTGAGGATGATTTGTTTTCTTACAATGCGGACATGGTGGATAATTTTTGGCCTTTCTTGTCCTCTGTGTCAATTTCCCTTCTTTAATTCGTGAACTTGCTTGATAAGCACCTTCTACAGAAACTTCATTCCTCATAAGCCCTTTTGGTGTTTCAAAAAATCAACGAAAAATAAATTCATGACTTGATTATCTAACTTTTCATTTCCTTTATACTCGTTTTCAAGATATTTCCAAATTTCTGCGGCAGATTTCTTTTGCATAATTCTGCTAAGAATCGAGGGTGAAACAGCAGAAAACAAACAATTCATGGCTTTAGCTTTTCTTTTCACCTTCTCTTTGTGACTTTTGATCTGAATCATTGTTGGGTTATCTCCAAGTGGTGGAACTTCATAATCTTCTTCCACAACCTCCCACAGATCATAAGCTTTGAGATGAGTTTCCATCCTAATAGCCCAGACTTTGTAAGTAACTCCATCAAATATTGGAGGAGTAATTGAACCATAACTAGACTCTCCCTCCATCTCACGGGTTGGTGTTTGGGTTTGATTTTGGTTCACTCAATTTCACAAGTCCTATAAGATATTGGCTCTGATACCACAATGTTAGATATGTGTCTCAGAAACTAAAAGTAATTCAAAAAGGATCTTAAACAACAAAATTTATAAACATGTGAAGGCTTTTTTTTTATTATATTGAAACACTATTACAGAAGTATTTATAGACTCTAAAGAAATGTATTTATAGACTAAAAACAGAAAACTTCAGAAAAATAAAGCAAAACTTATTATGCTTATCTGATATGATAAGCATATTAAATTATTCCTTAAAAATAGCAACAAGAATAACAAATAATTATTTGGGAAACACTTGTGTGCCACTATTTTTTATTACTCTCTTTATGTACCTACTATTGTTTTAATAGTGGAAGAATTATTCGGAGTTTCTCCCGTGGACGTAGCTCTAAACAATTGAGAGTGAACCACGTAAATTGTTGTGTGTCTCATATTTCTATTTTTTCGCTGTGTTATTATTCTCGTAATTTTATTGCCGGTATCTCCACAATAACTAATTCCACCAACAATTTTTCTAATGATAACAAGCTAGGGGAAGGTGGTTTTGGGCCAGTTTACAAGGTAAGTTCCCTGCATAATTGTTTGTAAGCACTTAAAAATGCATTCCATGAACCAAAATGGACTTTAATGATGATTCTACGAATACTGCTCTCAGGGTACATTAATGGATGGGCAGGAGATAGCTGTAAAGAGGTTATCAAAGAATTCTGGACAAGGGTTGCAAGAATTCAAAAATGAAGTAATTCTTATAGCTAAGCTTCAACATCGAAATCTTGTAAAGCTTCTTGGTTGTTGCATTCAAGGAGATGAGAAGATTCTGATTTATGAATACATGCCAAATAAAAGCCTTGACAATATCATTTTTGGTTTGCATCCCTCAAGACCTCATAAATATATTCGTTCATTTTTGTTGATGGATTTAAATTCACTGATATTGACAAGAATCTTGCCAGATCAAAGGAAAGGTGACCTACTTGATTGGTCCAAGCGTTTCAACATTATTTGTGGGATTGCACGAGGACTTCTTTATCTTCATCAGGATTCTAGATTGCGAATTATACATAGAGATCTCAAAGCAAGTAACGTTTTACTGGACAAGGATATGAATCCCAAAATCTCAGATTTTGGCATGGCTAGAACATTTGGAGGAGATCAAACTGAAGGAAATACAAATCGAGTGGTTGGCACTTAGTAAGTACATATTCTTGTCCTGCTTTACAAATTTGATGTGAAACGTGTTTAATTTTTGTTTTTTTCCATGTTTGGGTCTGCAGTGGCTACATGGCCCCAGAATATGCTACTGATGGGCTATTCTCAGTGAAATCTGATGTTTTTAGCTTTGGTGTTTTACTGCTTGAGATAATAAGTGGGAAGAAAAGTAGAGGATTTTATCATCCAAGCCGCGGTCTTAACCTTATAGGGCATGTAAGAATCAAGAATTTTTTTTTTTTTTTTTTTTTTTTTATTTTTTTTTTATTTTTTTTTTTTTTTTTTTTTTTTTTTTTTTTTTGGCTTATTCTTCTTCTTTTTTAATTTGCTGTTGAGCTAAAATGATTTGCCAGAAAATTTCACTGTATAAACTAGGCATGGAAATTATGGAAAGAAGACAAGCGTTAAGATAACTGAATGAAATAGTGAATTTAGGAGAGTCTTTGTAAATCTAAACCGAAGGTGATTCGTTGCATTCAGATTAGTCTCTTGTGCTGTCCCCAACAGCATCCTGAGGAAAGACCAGTGTAAGCATCTGTTGTTTTGATGTTAGGGGAGTGAGAAATGCTTTTGCCTCAGCCTAAGCAACCTGTTATTTAAGACAGAGGTCCTGCTGAATTCAGATCCTACACCAGGAAAGCAGGAAAGCAGGATTCATCTTCAACTAATGAAATGACCATCTCATTGTTGGAGCCTCGCTAAATAACTAACTAGTTAGTTTTGCGCTCTTCCAATTAATATATAAAGCAATGATAATAGCTTCTGGATTTTGTCCTGTTCTAATATAATAGCCATGTACTTTTTTCTTTCCACTTATTATTTCTAGCTGGCATTAGTACCCCAAAGCCAAAAAGATCAGATTTGATTCAGTTAGCAACCCAAACTACTGTTCGAACTGGAATATTCCCATACCAGATTCTTAAATAACAATTCTTGGAATTTCCAGCAGTAAAGAAATCAAGCTTGAAAATTCCACCTTTTGAAACCAAGGTCTTGCCATCATTTATAGACTGAAATCAAGTTAGTTAGTTAGTGTATCAGTTGCATTTCCAAATTTGGAGAAAGAAAGGAACAAGTTAAATAAAGAATCTCCATTAGTTAGTTTTTGAGAAATGGAGTTTCTGTTCACAGATTCAAAGAGAAAGCTCAAAGAAAGAAAGAAATATGGTTATCTATGTTAAGAAGTTGACTTAGCTGCTGCACTTCCAATTTAGTTGCTGCATTTTTTCTTTTTCTGTTATGTTTTGACTTGTTCTACTGCATTTCAGTCATTTTCCCTCCTTTATGCGGAAATGACCGAACGAAAACCTATGCCTATCTCGGCTAAAGAACGCTTTCATTCGATGTTTTGATCCTCTGTAGAACATTAAATATGGGACGACGGAAATTTTTCCCGTCTGTGTCTTATGGATGAAGACGACGGGTCGTTCATTTCGTGGATTGGGTTAATGGGCTGTTTTGTGTTTTCTTTGCAAATAGGACTTTTAGTTACTTCTGACTTTAAAACAAATGCAGACGACGATTAAGGCCATTGTTTTGATCAGTGGCTTGAGAAAGATGAGCCGTAGTTGGTAAAAAGACCATTGACAAGCAGGTGATAAACGACAACAGGTTATTTTGGGATGTAAAAATACTCAGGAAAAAGAGCATAATTATTAATAGTTTACATTTAAATGCAAAAAGACAAACTACAATGTTCTTCTGGAAATAAATTACTTGTTACACTGTACTTTTTCTTTGTAATTGTGCTTGATTTTAGATGGTAAGAATACTTTAGATCAAGAATAATAGGAGGTAAGGAGAGCAAAACACAAACTAAAAAATATACTCCATAACAATAAAGTCCAAATAAAAGAAAGCAGCAGAGCAACTAACAAAGCTTAGCTAAATAAATACATCTTGAAAATGTTGATAAAATTCTAACAAGTCAACAAGTTTAGGTTTAATTTGGTCTAACAATGTTGAAGGTTAAAGTTTATGACAAATTTTCAAAATTTTCTAATGTTGAACATAATTTTTATAATTAACCGATGTTGAACATAATTTTTATAATTAACCGGTAAAAATAATTATTTTATTAATGGAGATTGGTTTGAGTAGAAAGAACTCAGGTTCCTTAAATAAGAGGAGGTTGAGTACTCTATCATTTTAAACGAAGAAAATCTTCATTGGAATGGTTCCTCTTATAGATATGAGGCTGGAGACAAGATTAAATTTAATCTAACAAACTAGGTATACTTTAGATATAAATAAAAATAAATAAATAAAAATAATTTTTGATTGCTATTGTTTAGTATTGAGACAACCAACTCCATAAATAAAATTTTAAAAAGAATTAATAGCAGAACCAAATTGAAATTTGAAGATTCTTTATATAAAGAAATTTTATCGATTGGCTTATTCGATTATTATTATTATAAAAAAATAATGAATCAAAATACTTTATGGAAAAGGATTTGAAACTGCAATATATAAATAGATGAATAATATATTAATAGTAGAACTCCCACACCTACCCCAGCAAAATACACCTAACAACAAAACCGCACACCTACCACAAACAAGCTTCGCTATCTAAGGTTAAGCCCGAACATAAAATAACAAATAAATGAAAATAAACATTTACTTCATATCACAGATTTAGTTCAAGAATTACACTAAAATGGCTGCTGCTAGCCTAAGAAAATCAAGGTCTCTCAATCAAAATCTATATTATAAACACTAATTGACTCATTTACCACCAGAAACTTAACTTATCATGTCAAATACCTCATATCAAAGCAGAAATTTTAAGCAAGTAGCTAGGTTGGCTGCCACCATATCACAATCATTCTAATTTCTTTCACAGGATCTACAATAAACACCCTAACTTACACTAAACAACTAACCTTACACCATTTTCTTAAAAAAATGCAGTTATAGTGTCAATTAATAGTCAAAAATCAGATTTTCCCACTATTTAGTCGTGTGAATAGTGTTTCAGGAACTATTGCATTATCTCACTTCAGTTGATTACTAACAAACTCCTCCTTAGGGTATGTGACCTGAGTATTTAATTGATACGAGTTGTATTGCCTATTATTTAATGGATCACACACGAGCTATGTGAACAGGCATCTCCTAAATGTAGAATTAACACGAATTGTAAAATTTGTCTTTATATTATTCGTATTAATATTGACTTCTAATGTTATTATAAAAATCTAAAGAATAACTATGACATAATACAGATTCAATTATCTGAGAGTTGCTAGGACAGTTCATAGAGTCCTACACCTAATTTAATTGTGCCATTAATATCTAGAATTAATTACAACTAGCAAACCATTCAATTTCCAAGAAAGGTGTAATATATAATCACTGAAGGATGTGCTAGAAATGCTAGGAATAATCTAAACTTGGCTTTAATAAATACCATCAATGTCATCTAACCTAAGCGAAAATCAAACACTGTTTGGTTGTAAAATATATCTGATTGTGTTTGACTTAATTAAATTGACACTATATACGTAGCCATATATTATTATTTAAGATTGAGCGAGCACATGCGATAATAATGGCTAAAGAGTGTAATTTTATTGTAATAAGGTGTAATTTTACTAGATATGTAACGAATAACTCTCATGTGAATCCAGAATTAGCAACAGGTGACTGATGCGACTACTCAATGAAAGTTTTTGCTTGACGGAGGCAGTGGTGGTGCTCGCCGGAACGAAGAGAGAGAAAGCTCAGAGCCACTGAAATGGCTGAAGTTGTTGAAAATAGAATCGTTGCTCACCTGAGCTGCTGTGCTCACTAGAGTCGTTGAGCAGGAGAAGAGAGACGTCGAGCGGTGGTAGCTTGGAGACGATGTGGGTTGGTCCGGCTATGGGCTGGTGTCACCGGAAAAGTCGATGAGGAGTCCGACCTTCCTGCGACTACTGCTCTCGCCAGAAGTGAATGGGGAGAGAGAGAAGGAACGATCGGAGATGCCGCGGTGAGGAGGCGACGGCTAGCAGGGAGATGGCGGCAAAGGGCTGGTCCGCCCGGTGAAAATCGAAAAATTGAGAAAGGGGAGGGAGAAGAAAGAGTGGGTCGGCGCTGGTGCTGGCGCAAGGAAGGAGAAGGGGAGAAAAAAAAAGAAAAAAAAAGAAAAAAGAAAAAGAAACAAGAAAAAAGAAAAGAAAAAAAATCTTGGGCTCTAGACTATTCCCGGTTTCGATTTCGAACCGATTTGGGTCGCCTAATCTAATGATTTGGCTCAATTTGCTGTTTTTGAAGTTTTTCGCTTGGTTTTTCGAAAAAATCGAATTGGTTTATGGGTCCCCAGTTTTAGCAATAATAAAATACAGCAGGTAATAATATTTCATTTGGTTGAAATAAAAAAAGTTAGTTTTTTAAATGAAAATTCTACGAAATTAAATTTTCGGGTCGTTTCAGTTATAAGGGACCAATTTGGAAAACTAAATAAATGGAAACATGTATAAATATGATGAGTTGATTGATTTTTTATTTCACAACCAATTTATATCATAACTCTTCTCTTATTCTCAATAAAATTGTCTCAAATTTTCATATTTCATTATTTTTTCTATTGCTTTATTTTCCTCAATATTGAAATTATCTATTGTTTATTTTTTATTTTTCTTAACATCCAATTTCCAAATTCCTCTCTATCTCAATTTTTTCCATTCATAAATTTACTTCAATTTGATCTTTTTAATAATTTTTCTTGTAATTTGAAAAATAATAATTTTTCGCAACTCATTTCATTATTTTTATATTCCTTTATAGTTTTCTATGTTAGTGGAATTAGCAAAAATTTGTAAATTTAATGTAAATAAATAGTTCTAAGTTAAGTAAATAGAAGTTTTTGTTTTAAAATTTTATAATAATTTATTTAGTTAATAAAATTTAAACATTTTAAAAATTATTATTTATTTAATGAATTTGGAATCAAATTTTATTATTTTTTTTAAAAAAATTTGCGTAATGCCGGAACCGAATCGGGAATCGGAACCGTAATTCGAACTGTCGGTTTGTCGGAACCGGAACCGGAGGTTCAAGAGTCAATTCCGGTTTAAAATTTTAAACATCTCGAACCGGCGATTTAGTGAACCGAAACCCACAGTTCACTGAATCGGCCATTCCTAATCTAACCTAATTAATAATTAATGTTCTATACTTTGAATATTTTTTTTATTTTTTAAATAATATTATTTAGGGATAAAATTATGTAGCCCTTGGTATTCTCTTAAAAAAATCTAAGAAAAATTTGATTTCCAATTCCAATAGTTTTGTATTCCCTTGTGCTTGAGGGAATCATGGCCTGTCACTTTGTCCGCCAAGCCTACGATTGGCTAGGCCTTACAAAGATAGCTATTACAAAGATAGCTATTGACCTTAATTAGTCAGGCACGTGTCTTTACGAGGAGTATGTTGTCCTTTTGCAATTCTTGACTATATCAATAACTTTCTTTATTAATTTCCTACAAATACTCTTTCTTCATAGGAGACAAAAAGTGTGTGAAAAGGGATAAAATTTCTTGTTTCATCCATCTAAACATGTGCTTTCTCATATGACAATTGCAGTAATGCATGGTAACATGGCCAATTTATAAAATGTTTAATGTTCCTAAGTCGTCTCTAATTCTTATAAGGTCCACTAATGTCAATTTGCATAGTTCGTAATGCCAATTTATTGAATTTAATTCTTTCAATTAAAAAGGTAAAATGAAAATCATGTCATTTTAATTTTAATTTTTTAAAAAATTCGTTCTCATATATATATATGCATAGACTTGATTTGTAAATTATAAAAATATTTATACAATAATAAAAATGAAGTAGCTCAATGACAAAGAGTCGTTAAAGGGATTGATCTTCATGCAATATAAATTCAATTTTTTGCAATGAAAATTCTCTCCAGGTCAGCTTCTTCCCCTAGCAATTCCACCTTCTTCCCCTAGCAATTCCACACACAATCTTGAAACGCTTGGACCAATCTAATAGTTTTCCTCTAGTTTGGATCTGGCAATTCAGTTTCAGTTCCTTTTTAGAGACAGGGAAAACAGATTATAAAATTTCATAACAAATAAAGAATTATCATAGCTTGAATATGCAGTGCATGAACAGTTCTGTAAGCATTTAGCTCTGCATTCATTGAGGTTCATACTTTCATTTGCCCAAGTATCTCTAATATCTGGTAATTTTAACCCTTTGAATTTGATAAAACCGTCACTGCTGCAGTTCAATGAATTGTTACGGACACACCCTTGAGAAAAATCCTTTGAGTACCAGTTCTCCGGCGATTTAGGACTGAATCCTTTCAAACAGTGACAATCTGGTGTTAGACAATCTGGTGTTAAAGAAGTTTTACAGATTCCAAAGCTACCACAAATGTCATAAGAATCACAGTGATCGGATGGAAAATAAAACTGCCGATGCCAAGATTGAGAAGTTTGATCCCATAATAGCAACTCAAGTCTATTGTTGGTTTGGTTCAGTACAGGCCTGTATGTTAGACTGGTATCCCTTTGGTAGAATAAATAGTAAACTTAGTAAACTTCTTCTTCATTACGCGCAAACTTTGGATCATAAACCTGGCTAGGCGTAAATTGTGGTAGACCACTAAATGTAACGCCATTCCATGGCCCTGATCGAAACAAGATACTGGAGCCTTTCTTGATAGCTGATTCAACAATATCATGTACTACTCCTAAGTCCCAAACAAAGTCCCCAGGCGACGGATCATCCCAGTTTTTCCATGATACAAGACGCATACTATGTTGGGGCTTCAATTTCTCTCCAATAATTTCTCTCCGATCTTCCATTCCTGCTAGTAATGTATGCAGTTGGATAATCAAAGCTCTGCCACAAGTATATTCCAGAATTTCATTATTTCCATCTCTTAAGACAAAGATTCCCGGAATCCAGGAGCTGTAACTACTGGATTTTGGGCTTCCTTCGTTGAGTTTGGACGATGACCAAACAACGCCGTTGTTGCTATAATAAGGCACAAAGATTTTTACTTGTACTGTCTATCATCAAAGCAAACAAGTAGAATCATTTGTTGGATTGCTCCGATTTTGCCACCCCAAACGACAGTTCTAACGGAATTTTTTTTTACCAAATTCCCAAGTAACGCTTCCCGGAACAACCAGGACTAAAGAAACCAAGCTCAAAAATTCCATCTTTTGAAACTAAGGTCTGGCCATCAACAATTGATTGCGATAAAGTAAGAGTATCAGTTGCATTTGAGAATTTGCAGAACAAAAATAGTAAATTAGTTATGACCAAAATAAAAGAAAGGGCGCAAATTAGCTTGGGACGGTGAGACATTTCTGCTTACTGCTTATTTGATGCGATATCTAAACTATATTGAGAGTCATCAGAGACTCTCTAGACCACTCTTCAACCATCCATCCACAACTGTAAAAAATCTCTAAACATATTTCCATATCTCTAGAAAAATCCGCAAATATCCTATTAAAATAATATTAATTCAAGAAAAAAATCTTCCTAGTTGCCAACTTTAATCTGACTTTCTGTTTTTTTCCAACTTTTATAAGTAAAAAAAACCTTAAAAGGTAGCTTAGATACATTTGATGTAGAGACATCGATGTATATATATACATATAGAAAGCATTTTTTTCTCTAGAGAGTTGACATATGACATATTCACTTGGCATTTTAATTTGATATGTAACATATTTTTTCAATTAGGCTTTCACTTGATATGGTTTGATTTGATTATTTAATGTATTAATGTATTGGCTTGGTTTGGTTTGGATTTATTTTGAATTAGTGTTTTTGGTTTGGTTTGATTGATTATTTTAATGTATTAATATAGTTCATGCAAATGTCATATGATAGCATAACATTATTGGAATGGCTCAGCTTTAGAAATCTATTTCTTATCTTTAAAATTGACCATTAGTCCTTCAATTTATCAAATTGTACAAATAGAATACTTCAATTTATAAAATTAATATATTCTATTTAATCAGTGGAACACTTTATACATCTTTTAATCACAAATTATTAAACAATGATTTTCATAATTTTCCTTACTATCTTATAATAAGTATTCAATTAGTATAATTTTATAAATTGAAATATTAAATACGTGTAATTTTATAAATTAAATTGTTCAATAAGTATAATTGTACAAATTTAAAGATTTGATGGGTGAAAAAAAAAATTAAGCGTATCACTACTAAGTTTTTCTTGTAAAGTTTAGGTATCAAACTTATACATTTAACCTACTGGAATTAATTGATCAAGTGAAAACTCTCATTCATGCATTTTATAATTTAGAAGTTGCTACGAACGCTATCTGATAACGATATTTGGATGCAGACACATTCGAAATAAATTACTAATAAGGGAAAAAATTTGGACAAGGAAGCACACCTTAGGTTGTCGTGTGACCATACAGGCCATCTGATGCTTGTTAATAATAAAAGTACCAGTAGTGTTATTTGGTCATCAAATTTAAAGAAAATAGCACAGGTTTTTTATTCTGGGAATTTAGTCGTCAGGAATGAAAAGGATATCAATTTTACAATTGACCCCAAAGAAGCAGGGAAACTCTGCAAGCTTTGCTGATTTGTTCTTATCCCCCATTAAGCACTGTAATCTGTTCTCACATTTTTGCATTATCACTTCCTCAAAATTAAGCACTGTAATCTGTTCTCACATTTTTGCATTATCACTTCCTCAAACGAAACATACAAAACTTATGGATAAACAACACCAGTGATAGCAGTTTCATGATCCATTATCGACCCTGCAACGCTGATAAGCTAATTTCATTTTCTGAAGATGATCCTGGATTGCTCGTGGGAGATTGTGTTTCTAGTGGACGTGATTCTATAAAAAAACCAGGTCTTTTGGGCTGAGGCAGTTCATTCTTGCTGCCTAACATTAAAACCACAGATGCCATGCTTGGCCTGTCCTCTGCATGTTGTTGAACGCATAAGAGGCTGATATGGATGCATCGTTTAACTTCTAATAAACTGCAAGACTCCATTAAAAATGATTCCACCAATTCCAAGACATTCCCTTCATTCCACAATCTCCATGCCTGAAACATACCAAAAGCTTTTATTGATAGACAAATTAATACACAAATGCGATGCGGAGGGTAGGTAGTAGGGGGCGGGGAGGGGAATGGTGTGGAGGGGGGTAAGTGGTCGGAGGGCTTTGGGGCTGGGCTTAGGCAGCCGGCGCGCGGCGTGGTGGCGCGGGGGGGCTGGGGGGGGCAGGTGGCGGGTGGGGGGGGTAGGGAGGGGCGAGGGGGGACGGGGGGGCGTGGGGGGGGGAGGGTCGGGGCGGTGTGGTTTACGGTCCTCTGCATGTTGTGTTGGGACGCATAAGAGGCTGATATGCGATGCATCGCTTTAACTTCTAATAAACTAACGCATAAGAGGCTGATATGGATGCATCGTTTAACTTCTAATAAACTGCAAGACTCCATTAAAAATGATTCCACCAATTCCAAGACATTCCCTTCATTCCACAATCTCCATGCCTGAAACATACCAAAAGCTTTTATTGATAGACAAATTAATACACAAAATTTAGAATCAAATAAGTTTTATTCTCAGGCTTTTATCCTTCTCTTTAGTTCCAAACAACATAAGTTATTCAAACACTAACAATATCTAAAAAAAATTAGATTTCACGAGAACCAAACAGAAGATATAAAATACTATTCCAAGTTCAATCTAAATTTTGGATTGAGCAACACTTACATATCCAATAAGGTTAACGCTGTGGTCTGTGTGATAAAATCCACGACTTCTCTTTCCAGTAGTTGTCTTTAACATTAGGATACCGAAGCTAAAAACATCAGATTTAACTGAAAATAGCCCATCACTGCCATACTCTGGCGCCATATAACCACTACAGAACAATTACCAGTGAAACACATTTATGACAAGGAGGTAATTAATCATATCAACTTGGAAATGAATACAATACTTACTATGTTCCAACCACCCTTCTAGTGTTTCCTTCAGTCTGATCTCCTCCAAAAGTTCTGGCCATGCCAAAATCTGAAATTTTCGGGTTCATCTCATTATCAAGTAATGCGTTACTGGGTTTAAGATCTCTATGTATAATTCTTAATCTTGAATCTTGATGAAGATAGAGAAGCCCCCTAGCAATTCCACACACAGTCTTGAAACGTGTTGGAGCAAACTAAGAAATAACAGAGAAAAAAAAGAATATTGCAGTGTACATTTTTTATTAACTGCAAATGTGCTTAAATACAACAAAAAAAAGATAACAGAAATTCCTATATTTCAGCTCAACCATGGAACATGCCTCCATGTTTAACAACTCAGCTAGAAAAATGGAAATAATGACTGAAATGCAGTAGAACAAGTCAAAACATAACAGAAAAAGAAAAAATGCAACCATAACAAGAAAAAGAAAAAATGCAGCACCTAGAAATTTGGAAGTGCAGCAGCTAAGTCAAACTTCTCGTTAACACTCCTCCTTGGCTTTGATGCTGCCAACTTCCAAGTTTTTCCCTTAGAAACTCAAATTGCTTCTTTCCAAAGATTTGGTAAAGATTACATTGTCTGCAACATGTTCGTCATCAGTTTTGCAAATATTGCAGAACAACAGAAATCCTTCTTTCTTACACGTCTCTAAGGAAAAACAATTTGAATATAATCGTGTTCGTTTATTCCATTGAAAACGAACTTGTTTGAGATAGCTATTGCTGCTTGGTTATCCAACAAAGCCACATATTTGCCTTTTCATTTCCTGCCTTCAGGTTCAGCATCAAATAACACCTTTCTAGGCCATAAAGCTTGATTTTGCAGCAACCTGTAGCTGCAAATAAATCTCTGCCTCCGCAGTTGATTGCTGCAACAACTTCTTGTTTTTTACAACACCAAGAGCAAACATTCCTGGACCCAGCATGCCTAAACAATAAACCTGAAGTTAACTCTTCATAATCATTCAGAACCACCATATTCACTATCAGAATAGCCCTTTGCAGAACATGAAACTGGACTAGCACCGTATCAGAATAGCCCTGCAGAACATGAAACTGACTAGCACCGAACTTGATTCCATGCTTCAATGTTCCTTTCACATATCTTAGAACTCTTTTAGCAGCAGAAAAATGAGTTTCAGTAGCACAATTCGTCAATCGAGATAGCAGACTCACAGAATGTAAGATGTCAGGTCTTGTGGCAGTTAAATACATCAAACAACCCACTAGACTTTTGTAAAGAGTTTCATCAACCTTTTCCGCTACATCTTCCTTGCTGAGCTTTACATTTTTACCCATAGGAGTTGTAGCAATCTTGCACTCATCCATTATGAATTTCTTCAGAATTTCTTTAGCATATTTGGTTTGGCAAATGAACACCTCTTTCTCCTTTTGTTGAACCTCCATTCCAAGAAAATATGTCATTTCCCCCAAGTCAGTCATCTCAAAGGTCTGTTGCATATCTTTCTTGAATTTATTCACAAGTTCCAAATTGCTTTTCACAAGTTCCAAATTGCTTCCTATAACAAGTCATCCACATACAGGGAAACAACAACAAAATTGATCTCATCACTTTTGATGTAGAGGGTAGCCTCATTTAGACTTTTTTTGGATCCCAGCTGCATCAAATGCTCATCAATTCTGCTATATCAGGCCCTTGGTGCCTATACCAGGCCCTTGGTGCCTGTTTCAGGCCGTATAGTGCTTTTTTGAGCAAATAAACATCTTCTTGCTCTTTCACAACAAACCCCTCTGGTTGTTCAACGTAGATCTCCTCCTCAAGAAGACCATTTAGAAACGCTGACTTGACATCTAACTGGTACACTTTCCAACCCTTTTGAGCAGCAATAGCCAAAATTTGGTGGAATTGACAAACATCAAGATTTCTGTATATGTGACAGCTTATTTCGCAAGTGTACGAATCGCTACAAGTAATATATGATGAGTAAGATATCGTTCCCACGAGGATTGTAAACCAAGTACCAAAATTAATGTGTCAGAAAAATCAACACCAGGGATTTGAGCATAACCTTTCACAACAAGCCTTGCTTTATGCTTGTTTATAGAGCCATCTCCATTCAGCTTTGTTCTGAACACCCACTTTACTCCAATGCCCTTTCTGTCATCAGGTCTTTTTACCAGCTGCCACGTTTTATTTTTTTCAATCATACTCAACTCCTCTCCATTGCAGCTACCCATTTTTTATCTCTTTTTGCCTCCTGAAAATTTTATGGTTCCAAGACCGTAATATTGCACTTCTGATGGATTTCAGAAAGTGATCTTGTGCCTCTGATAGGTTCATCATCAACCAAATCAGTTTTGGACAGCTCTAGCAACTTTAAATCTTGAATTGGAATTGTACCAGCCTGATCTCATTTCCAATTCCATTTAGCATCTTCCATAAAATGCACATCATTGCTTATTAGAATTTTTCTTGTATCAAGTTGAAAAACTCTATAAGCCTTTGAAACTGAACTGTATCCCACAAAGATTCCAGCTTCAGCTTTTCTGTCGAGCTTGTCTCTTTTAATCTGAGGCACATAAGTGAAACACAAGCAGCCAAACACTCTTAACAGAGCTTGTCTCTTTTAATCTGAGGCACATAAGTGAAACACAAGCAGCCAAACACTCTTAAATTTTTTAAAGAGGGTTTGTAACCATACCAAGCCTCAAAAGGTGTCTTCCCATCAACTGCCTTTGTAGGAAGTCGGTTCAGCAAAAACACAGAAGTGTTAGCAGCCTCTGCCCAGTATTCTTTTGGCAACTCCTTTTCATGAAGTAAGCACCTACCCATCTCCATCACTGTATGATTTTTACGTTCACTGACTCCATTTTGCTGAGGAGTATATGGAGCAGTGAGTTGATGTTCAATTCCAGCCTCTTGCAGACATGTACTCCTTCCCATTATCAGACCTCAACGTCTGAATTTTGCAGCCACTTTGTGTTTCAATCCAGTTCTTGAATTTCCAGAACACACCAGCCACTTCTGATTTGAATTGAATCTGAGAAAAACATATATTCCAGAACATAATAGGATCTTTCTCTCAAGCTGTTAAGCTTCGGTAAGTCAAGAACCAGGCTCTGATACCAGATTGAGGTTCCTGTATACGTATGGCACAACCCAAGAGGGGGGGTGAATTGGGTTTTCTAAAAATAAAAATTTAACTTTTAAAACCAAACTCAGAATTCTGTTGAAGCGGAAAAAGTATGCATTTGTGAGAGTAAATTATTAAGATTACAACTTCCTGACAAAGCTCTATGCAAAAAATAGAAAGACTTTGTAAAGAACAGTTATCGATTAGAACTGCTTCACAATATCTTATTCAATTTCAAAAACTAATTTAACGAAAGCTATTACTTTTAGAACTTCCTCATAAAGTTTAGATATCTATTAAAGACTATGTGAGAGATAGTTATTGAATTCTGAACTGCTTCCCAAAGCTCTAAGCCAGATTAGAAAACTGATTAAAACCCAGATATACTAAAAATAGAAAAACAATTTAGAACTTAGTATATTCACTATGCAGAAGTCTAGAGTTTTAAAGTTTAGTAATAGATAAAGTTTATTCCAATTTAGAACATCAAAACTGTTAACAACTTTAGCATTTCTAAAATATAAACAGAAGTGTGAGTAAAATAGTATCAAGCAGAAATTCAAAAAATAAAAAGATTAACACAGTGATTTATTTAGCATTCTAAAATGTAAACAGAAGTGTAATAAAAAAAGCAGTATCAAGCAAAAACTTCAGAATTAAAAGATCAACACAGTGATTTATAGTGGTTTCTGGCGCTAAACTCGCCTACACTACCACTCCCCAAGGACTCATCTTGAGATCCTTCAAAAACTATGTTATCTCTTTTTCAAGTCGGTAGAGACAAAAACCAACAGTACAAGGCAATAGACTCAACACCTAGATCTAACCCTTTTATCCCACTAGATTTCCAAAGGTTCTAGTGTAACCTCAACCTCTTTCTGTTTTCCTGGCACGAGTACAGAAAACTCAATTCAAAGGGACATTAAAATCTCAGGACAAGGAGGAAGGTCGCTTGATAACCTCGATTTTCACAATAGCTTCTCACCTAAGCTATTACACACAAGTTTATCAAATAAAAAACTTGTCTACTGTAGGATTACAAAATCTAAATAGACCAGAAAAGGAAATGCCACATATATAAGCACCCAGGAAAAAACAGTTTATCAACAGATTTTAGAAAATCGTTTAGAACACAGAAGCCGTTTTTCAAAAGTAGTTGTTAAAAAAAAATTCTTTTTCTCTTTAAGATTAAAAACGTTAAGATAAAAACGTTAAGTGTAAAGATGAAAAGAAAAATGGGGGTAGAGAGTAAGTTTTGAGAGAAAAAGATTTGATCAATGAGAGAATGCTCTTAAAACGAAAGCTCTAAAAACGAAAACTCTTACTTCACCACAGCTCAAGACGTGAAAGCTCCTATTTATAGAGAGCATCGTGTCTCTTGCTTTTGGAAAGTGAATATGTTATTGGAAATCAGAATATTTGTTTTCCTTATTTAGAAGATGCGAAAATCTTTGTTACCAAAAATTTATTTTATCCTTTTTGGTAAGAGAATAAAACACGATTTTGCTTTCTTTTAAAGAAAAGATTTTCGGCAGCATTATTTGGAAAAATATTTTTACGGAAAGATGTTCTTAGGAAAAATATTTTTACGGAAAGATGTTCTTACTAAAAACGAAAAGACTCTTCCTTCGTTTTTAAGGTAAGAGAATAAATTGAAGTACTCTTAGTTTTCTCAAAGAGATTTCCGAAAAAGATAGTGTATGATTTATTACCAAAAACCTTGGAGACGTAATCTCTTTAGTTTTAGGAAATTAAATCATTTTAACTTTAAAGAATACTTTCGAAAACACATAAAAGAATTTATTTGAAAACTCTAATTTCCGAAAACTATTTTTGTATGAGAAAAAAAATTTAATTTATGTGCTCATATATGAATTATCTCTCTATCCTACAAAGTGTCCTAAATACCTAGCTACTAGGGTCTTCGAATATCTTCACACTCAATGTAGGACTTGCCTTGTACGATTTCTTTTCATGTACGATTTCTTTTCATAACAATTCTGCATAAAATAATATTAGCATAAATAACATAATTTAAATTTATTTATTTTGTTTTTATCATCAAAATCCGAGATTAGAAATTGACCCTTGAGCGAACATAATCATCAATGAAAAGCATATAATACTTACTCCCATTAAGTGAAGGAGTTCTATGAGGACCAGCCACATTAGTATGAATCAACTGAAGCTTTTCTGATACTTTCCAGGTAGCTTTCATGAAAGGAAGCCTT